CAAGTGCAATATTGAGAATTATATTATAAAACATTGTCACAAATCTCGGCCTATCTTCTATGCAAAATAACAGATTTTCTCGTGCCAAGATAAATTACAATAGAACAATGAAATTTATATGTACAGCGAGGTTACGTAAAAAATTGTTTATATAAAACATTTGCTTCTATTAAGTTATAAGGACAGTTGTGTAATGATTGGAAACAAAAGCCTTCATCGAATTTTTGTGTAAACACGTGCTCTTGAAAAAACCACTATCTTACAATCAGGTATTTTCACACAATCTCTTTGATTCGGTCTTCAAATTAGTCATTTCCAAATCAAAGAAAACTCTATCCATTTTAATTCATTTATGTTATGAATTATGATAGATCGTGTGCTAGTGTTTTTTTGTACACGAGTTTGGGTCCACTACAGCTTCGTGCACAAATATTACGTAGAAACCGGGTACGATTAACATATAAGGTACGCGCCGTATAATTTTAAGTCAAACATTATTCGAACACTTTAATTTAAAATATTAAGACTTAAATTTAAAGGAAGGTCTTATAATTTTCTTGGTTAATCTTCACGCACATACCTACGACGCACATTCGATCAAACGGCTTTCTACAGTTTCGGTAACTACAATTTTCAACAAGCCATTTCCTCGATCTTGCCTCTTTTCGAACACGATAAAATAAAATAGCAGGTAGATAGTGTTTGCAGTCCGCTATTCAGTAACCGTCACAGACATATCGCAGTGAGCAATACACATTTTGACAAAAACACGTTGCCGGTGTACACCCTAACCCCCAAATCAAAATAAATGACGTCCTTCACCGGTTGCCAATATCCCGCGCTACGGTTATCCTCTCTTCCTTACCCCTCGTCACGTCCAATGTTTTGTCCCGTTTCGTCCCGTTTCGTCTCTCATCTAGTTGGAAAGTGCGATGTAAACGTCGTAAAATCGACGTAGAAAACCAAACGATCCGAGTTTATTCGTCCACTGCACGACACTATCGACAAAATACAACGTATGTATCACGATTTATTTTAGAACAATACATTGATGATAACTATGACGACAACGGTAATAATAATATTAGCGATTACAATAACAAGACGTAAACTTCTTCCGTTGAGCTCGTGTTTCTCGAGAAGGAAGCACGAAAGACGTGACAACATCCCACCCAGAGAGTTCTCGACAAACTGCTGCTCGTGACCAGGTGTCTCTTCTCTTTATTCCTTTTGGGTCCCAAGTACATGAAAGCCCCCAGCTATATAGGTACCCCTAAGGGTCGATGGTGGGGGCTTATTCTTATTTAACAGCAACGAAGCAGGAACACCAGCAACAACCAACTTTAAAGCTTCCCTCTTTTTCTTTTTCGTGTCCTTTTCTCGATCTCTTTTTACTCTCCGTCTTTCTCCGTCAGTTTCTACCTTCAATTCTTCCAACTTCCTCCCCTTTTCTTCTCCCATTTGCTATCCCTTTCTCTTCCTCCCTTTCTTTTCCCTTCCGTCACCTTCCTTCTACTTTCTTGTTACCTATCTCTTTCTCCTATTTATTCGAGTGGCTTTATTCTTTCTTTCTATCTTACGTTCCTTCCTCGTCCTTCTTGGGTCACTTTGTAGCGCAGATCTATCGTTAAAGCCCGCCAAAATTGTATCAGCTGTCCTGAATTTTGCTCCGCCTGTCAAGTACGTGACGTATACGGTTCTTCTTGTTCTGTCTTTTTGTTAGCTAGGTGTCCTATGGGAAAAAAGGGTCACCCGAATCTTACAATAGTAAGGCTATTACAATTTGCGCAGTGACACTTTTCGTGACGTTTTAAAAATATCGTTTCAAAATTATCGTGCATAACTCATACTAAATATGCATAAATACGTAACAGCTTATTTTTAAATAAAAACGCATTTTTACTTAAAATAAGTCTTTAGCTTTTCTGTATATTTGTTTTAAGAAACAAAGCTTCCTTGCAGTTTGTACTACGTAGTTGCAGTTACGAATGATTAAACGTGCGAACGTTGAACATATATCATTCAAAACTTGAACAAAGGAACATCAATGGTTAAATATCTTCTTCGATGATAAAATATCATTTTTTCTAGATTATATATATATCTCTGACAATTACCTTAACTGTAAAGTTAAATTGCTGCAGTTATACTACATAAACATTGTTATCAATTATAATTCTGATTCCAATACATATAACTTAATTAATAGATTTGGGATAGAATAATTAAATTTTTGACAAGTTGATGAGATCGACTAATTTGACCGTAAACTAATTGAATTGGATTTAACACCTGGTTCTGTCATTTTAGTATACATTCATAAAAATATTATGTAAACACATAGGATTGAAGTAGCAAAGACAAATTCGAAAAATTTTTTTTTATCTATTTATTAAAATTACAATCAATTCTCGCCTTGAGAATTTTCAGTAATAAATTCGAAAATGAAACTGAAATATTTTCCTACGAAGTACGTGATATGTTTAATTGAAAAACGTACAATTTGATGATATAACTGTTTGATCGAGTTGCTGTAAGTTTTCAAGTAAGACATTATCTTAGTGTCATTCTTTGATTTGGCGTTGACACGCGTTGATACGCAAAAGAAGAAAGAAGATTAAAAACAGAGAATGATTGAGAACCACTTGTAGGAGGACAGCTGCCGCAGCGAGCGCATCTGCTGTCGGTTGCGCGGGCACGCGCGCTTACATATCCTTATTCCTATGTTGGTACTATACACTCTATATAGATGTACACGGGTCGAACGCATACGGTACTCCTCTGTTCTCTTTATTTCTACCGTGTTGTTCCATCCTTTTTTCGCTAGTCCTTTCCTTTTCCCTTTCTTTCCTTATTTTTGTCCGAACATTCGCCGCCCCTCTCCTCACCTCCTCTCTCACTCTTCTCATTCTTTCCTCCTTCCCCTCCTATCTACCTGTGTCCTTCGTTCATTTCAGTTGGTTTCTTTTTTCTCACCCTTCAAACTGCGACATCGCAGCATTCGAATCCCGTTTTCAATATACCTTCTAGCAAATGCGTCTTCTCGTTGTATTGGGGGTTGACCGACCATCGTCTTCCCTTTAATACCGTTCAGGGTAAGGATTTATAATCCATGAAAGAGAGGGTCTACTCGTGTTTATGGCATATACGATGGCTGTCTGATTTCGAAAGGTTCGTACACCTAGTTCATAATACAGAGCTTACGCGAGCAATAGGGTTTTCTACGGTGTGTAACAGCACACGATGCAGCTTGCCATACAGCCGGTACGTAGGCCGCCGTGGTACCCGAAAATTTTCTTTGTTCCCATTGTTCAGCGAATTTCCACCGTGCTTTTACGATAGCTACGTTTCTTAGAAAATTGTTGAATTTGTCGACCGAGGGATTTTTCCATCTGCTTACCTTGTTCCGCCTTTATTTCCTTCCTTCTTTTTTTCTTCTTTATTACCCACGAAAACCCTCACGGGATTTTAAGTTCGGCTCTTTTGTTCCTTTGCATACCTGCTCTCGTTGAAACGAACTGATGCGGTAGTTATTGGTATGCTTCGTTTAAATTTTTCTCAAAATTCACTGAGTTCATCTACTACGTTTATTTTCAGGAACGAAAGAATGTTAGTAGAAAATTTGTCATCAGCATTTAATTTTGCAAAATGTATCTATGATTCTTATCTGTAGCGAAGAATAAAATTGAAATCTGTTATAATATTTAAGGCGATTTCTTGAATGTTTAGCGTGATGCTAAGGTTGATGCTAGATCAATTTCGTAGAAAGTTAGAATTTCTTTTCTGCAGTGTTATTTTTGTTATCTTATCTTTAAATAAGAAAAGTTTTGAAGTATATCGACACATGTCAGAGAATGGCATCAATGTGCAGCATGTGCTTCACACCATAGGGCCCAGATGGCAAGCGTTGAATCCCTTGCTTAAATTTTCATCACGATATAACACTACATACTGCCTTCTAGACCACCTGTTCTATGCGTAGTTTGAAGCTATTCCTATAATTTCACATTACGTACAAATACATATATGAATTAATAGTGTATATAATAATAGAAAAAATTGAGTTATTTTCGTTAATTTTTTCAAACTATTGAACCTTTATATTTGTTAACCGTTCATATGTACGCTATGTAAATTATGTATGTATATGTGTAAAGTATAAATCGACCAATTTTTCAATCACCCTGCATTAAAAAAGAAATTCTTATTTTTAATATTATACCTTATAAAAATGTTTGTGTTGCCATTAATATAATTAGTGATGTTAAACAGATATTTATATCTTTTGTAATCTGTTTAATCTGCGTTTACATTAAATAGAAAAAGATTTTATGCATAATGATCTATCTATTCGTAATAATGTATTGAGTTAACAAACGGTCGTTCCGAGCGACGTTACACTTCGAGACGAAATTCAAAAGATCTTTGTTCGTATCGAGGAAGTGAATCCGTGGTCGAATTCAAACGTGTCCGTGTATACAAATACTTTATATCGTCTATAACAACCGGAAGTTGAACATACATAATGTTTCTGGGTGCGCCTGTTTGTGCTATTTTTCGCTTCACTGGCAAATAAAAACAAACTACTGATTAATCATGATTTGATGAATACAATATTCATTATTACAATGCAAATATATATAAAAGATATCTTATTATTTCGGCCAATTTTCTTGGGAACTTATTCCATTTCTTTTTTATTTACATCATTATCTTTTACTCATACTATTCTGGTAATACTAGAAATGAAAATATTTCGGAAAGATATAATCTATAAATAATTACACACGTCCTATCAATTTTATTTTTTAATATAACAGCAGTTATGAATCATTGCGGCAGTTAATATGTTAATGTAAATCATAATAAAGAGAGGATTTATTTTTTGGTATATAAAAATTCTAAAGACCATAATATATATAGAGACATAATTATAAATAATTTTGTAAACTACTCTAAATGATGGAACAATAAAAAATACTTTATTCCCCAATGTTTTGATTCAATAATAAAACAGATTTCTTTCTTATTGATTGCACGAACAGTCGGTAAGGAATTACCGAAATAGAGATACAAGGAAAAGTAGGTCAAATCCTTTCACTCGTTGGAATTAATTCTTCAAAGTATTTACGATGGCACAAATAGAAAGTATCACAGCTAAGCAAAACTTCACATTTTCAGAAGAATTAATTCCTGCTACAAAGATTGTTGTGTAAAATGTTAAAGTGAAATTGTTCAACTATCAACTATGCAGATAATTAATAAGAGGAAGCTATGAAATATTGAAAATATTAATGGTCCATTTGATATAAGTGGACCATAGTTTATATTTTAAATTACAGTATTATTTAAAAGTTTTTATATTAAGTACTTTCGCTGTTATAATATATTATATTCAATAATGGCTAAAATAAAAGATAATACTGTCCAGATAATATTTATTTCTTTACTGCTGGACCTTTTGGCATTTACTATGATATTACCATTGTTACCAGCTTTATTAGACTATTATAAAGAAATAGAAGATAATCAAGGCATATATTTTAAAATTTTGTATTACATACAAAACGCAAGAAAATTTTTTGATGCTCCTGATAAAGTCAATACAGTACTTTACGGTGGTTAGTCTTTTTCCTCATTTTATTTAAGTTATTGATATATTAATATGTATTAACATAGGTGCATAATTTATCTTATAGGTTTTCTTGGTTCTATGTATTCTTTCCTACAATTTTTGAGTGCTCCGATAGTAGGAGCATTATCAGATATATATGGAAGGAAACCATTGATGATATTTTGTCTAACAGGTATTGCATTGTCTTACCTGTTATGGGCACTTTCTTGTAATTTTGCTATATTTGTATTAGCAAGATTTGTTGGAGGTATTAGTAAAGGAAATATTAATTTATCAATGGCTATCATTAGTGATGTTACATCTCCAAAAACAAGGGGAAAAGCAATGGTGAGGTTTGAGATAAACATACGAATAAATGCAACATACATTGAAGACAGATGAATGTAAATAAAGAAATAAGTTAATCTTTCTTATTTTCAGGCACTTGTTGGCATAGCTTTTTCTATAGGCTTTGTAGCAGGTCCAATGATAGGAGCATTTTTTTCATGGATTTCTAGTGATAATAGAAAAGGGACTTGGTACATAATACCTGCAGTATTTGCTCTTTTCTTGGCAGCGAGTGACTTGTTTTTTACTGTTTGCTACTTAAAAGAATCTTTACCGTTGAATTGTAGAACCAGTAATTTTGTAACTGGTGCCTCTGGAATTCTTACTTACATTAATCCTATAGATCTATTCCAATTTAATGGAGTGTCTGGACTAACTTTGCAAGGTGAAGTTGCTTTAAATTAGCATATTATAAATTCTATAGAAATCAATAAAAATTATATATATACATATATATATATATATACAATTTCAGACAAAAAGGATTTAAAAACACTGGGTTGTGCATATTTCATATATTTGTTCGTGTATAGTGGCTTGGAATTTACCTTAACTTTCTTAACTCATTATTTGTTTAAATTTACAAGCATGCAACAAGGATGGATGTTTTTGGGAATTGGATTAGTTATGGCAATTTTGCAGGGAAGTTGGGTACGAACAATTCCACCTAATAAAACAAAGTCTGTTGCAGGATTGGTAAATATTTTGAAAACACAGAGCAACTATTTCTGTCATTATTAATTTTACATTGATTAAATTATATTATTATATATTAAATATTTTAGGGTTTATGGCTGATTATTCCAGCATTTATCTGTGTAGGTTTAGCAAATGATATATTGACATTGTCAGTTGGAGTATTTCTGTTTGCAATTTGTGAGTATATTGTGACATAAATTTATGTATATGAAATACAACAAATATCTATGGATTATTTATTATATTTGATTAAAATAAATAAAAATTTTATATCTTTTTCATACATTATAGCAACTGCCATGGTTGTTACATGTATGATGACGCTTGTAACACGTATTGGTCCAGATCATCAAAAAGGTGCAATAACAGGTGTTTTTCGTTCTCTTGGAGCATTAGCACGAGCTTGTGGACCTATTGTAGCTTCTTCAGGTAAAGATAGAATATTGAATCATTTAATTCAGTAATTTATATTGAATTATTATTTCAGCTTTCTGGTGTATTGGTAGTAAGGCAACATATCTTACCGGTGCTGTATTTCTTGTATTTCCACCTTTAATTCTTCAAACTGTTAAGTCATTTTGAAACAAAGGAAACATAAAAGGTATTTATATAAGTATTGTATATTTATATTTGTACAGTATTTTTACACATTTTATAACGTTTGTTGTTATAACGTTTTATAACGTTACGTAAACATTTAAGAAAATATTCTTTATACGCTTTTTGTATCATGTATGGAGAGTGAATAATTGTACATTTTAACATGCAAATTTTCTCTCTTTACTTTTCCCTCCTTTTCCGCCATGTTTAGTAGTTATTGATTTATCGAAAAGTTATCAAATTAATGGTACTGTGATATAACGTGCTTTTTCCTGCGATAAACTTATAAGAAAAATACGATTAAGATATATTTCATTAATGCAAAAGAATCACAAAGAAAATTATTGAAATCAAAGATAAAAATATTTTCTTCCATTTCGTACGTCCCTGAGAAAATCATCATTTTGCGTATGCGTAATTGGTGCCTTGTCACGTGCCCTACCCTCTCCCTTTTGTGTCGCGCCATTTACGGTAAGAAATTCTCGGAATTCTTCCGTTCGCGGGACTTCGTCGACGTCCGCGTTGATGTGAGTAACACAGAAGGGGGAGAGTTATTGATGCGATTCGCGAGTGCGACCGGTCCCTCAATCATTACGTTTACAATTATTGCGCGGTAGACTGAGTTTGATCAGTTCAAAGGTTACATCTTCAACAAATCGAAGCAAACTGAAGGTATCGGAATCATACAGTACAAATCCTAGTTGCTTCTGTCTGCGGACTAGCAGCAGGTGAGTGTAACCAATTCTTAAAGTGAACATCTTTTTCTTTCGCCCCTCCCGCTTATCTATTTACGCGTTATTGCAATACGTTACGTTCTGTTATTTCTAAATTTCGATATCATACTCTTTTCTTTGAATTGTATTAAAAAAATTAAATTAAAAATTGAATAATCGGTAAACTTATTTTATTTAATTCAATTTATTCGATATCTTTTAAAATAATATTAAATATATGTAATTTTTCTTACTTGAGTTTCGGAAGTATATATATCCACTTTAAAAGAATGTACGGTTTCTGATAATATCGAGCATTTCGTTTTATCAAGTAATACTGATACTACACATTCTGCAAGAAATATAGACGAAATATCTAATGAATACATCTTTATTAAAAATATTAATTAATAAATTTGAAAATGTAATATTGTCAAATATCAAGTAGATTGTTAGTTTGTGGTTATATTATTTTTAGAGCAAGCCCGTCTAATATTCTTTTAATGGAAACATTGATGTTAATTAGTGAAAAATAATAACGCAACTAAATATGTTTAAGGTAAAGAATTTATAATTACAATCAAAATGTCACTGTGGGCAAAAGCACAACAATTACCACAAGATGCATTGCAAGAAGTACGTTCAGTTTATGGAGAACATTTTCCGATTGAGGTCCGACACTTTTTATCTTCTTGGATAGAAGAAAAAATGTGGTAAGTTAAATATATATGCTTTCATCTATCTTTTAATTTATATATATGTATATAGAGTATTTGGAGCAATATTTTTACTATAGGACTGATATAGAACCTGATAATCCACAATATGAACAATATATAGCTACTCTTGTGAGATCTCTAATTCAAGAATTAGAAACTAAGGCAGCTTCATTAAACACAGATGACATGTTTTTAACAAAATTAAAATTAATGGAAGCTGCAAAAAATTTTCGTGTAAGTTTTATAATGAAGCGTTAATAGTTAATTTGAACCATATTAATTTAACACAATGTATCTTTTTTTAATGCAGCAGAGATATACACATAATCCTACAGCGTTATTTAGAATAATTAGACATTGCCTAGGAACAGAAATGAAATTAGTATCTCAAGTAGAGAATTTAGGAGGTGCATTAATGAGTATGGCAGGCGGAAAAGTAGGATTGATTAGTGATGCTATAGCTGAAATAGCCCAACATGTTGAATCTTTGCGACGTAGAACTCAAGAAACTGGAGAAGATTTGCGAAAAATGGAGCAAGAACAGGAGGCATTTGCTATTAGTTATCACGAATGTACTAAGCTAAATGCACATCTTCAACATCTTGCAACGCAACCACAAAATCAACAAAATTTAGATATGGAGAAAAAGATTAGAAGGTATTTAAATATTTATATAATTGACCCTTTGTTCTACAACAACGAGTGAGACCCATAATAAATATTTGGGACAAAAACAATAAGCTGATCAAATGTAAACAACACTAGCCTGGCTCGTGATACTTCATTTGGGATAAATGTAAACAACACAAGTCAGACTCGTGGTTCAGTTGCGCTCCATATTTTCTTACTTTAGTTATGTGTAATTCTTTGTCATGTTCACATGTTTAGGTTATAATTCGCTAAAGGAATTAAAAAACCTTATACCTATCATGTCAGTAAAGAGAAAATCTAATATTGATGATATGATATTCTAATCTAATATTAATGATGATGAGAAGTATGTTATTATTGTGGATAGTGATTCGGTAGATTCTTCTGATATTGATAGTGATGGTAATATTGTGTTTCCTATTGTGTTTCATTGTTTAGAAAAATATCACACAGTTGAAGATTACTAATTTTCTACGAGTTTTCACAAAATATTATTATCTCAAACTAAGTATTAATTTTCAAATTGTTACTGATGCATTATCCGCTTTCAAATAATAAATCATTTTTTACTGATGAATCGATCATAATTACTTCTCAGATATCTTAAAAGTATTAATTGTGCCCAAATATGTTTATTATTTTACAATTCCTTTCGTTGCGCCGAAATATACATGTCATAAGACGCATACATTTTGCGCAAGTTCGAGCACACGGCTAAACAGCTAACGCATGACCGATCTTGTTTATTGTGGCCCGAGCAATCGGGAGTTGGCGAGTAGGACAAAGGGTTAATAATATTGTGTATATCTACTGTAGGATGAGGCACTTGATATTATCATCTTAACTTACTGATCTCCTTTGATCTGCAATATTTTTTGCTATAGATAATAATATTGATCTAAATCAAAATAATATCAGGTGATCTATCTTATTGATGTATATAATAATAAAACGTAAATAATGAAAATAATGCTATTATAGGCAAAAAGAGCAACAAGAACAATTACTGAACCATAAAGTAGCAGGTTTAATGCAATTACGACTGACATTAGCTGACAAACTGAAGGATACTATTACTAGATTAAATAGCTTGCAATCTAGAGTCTTAGACGATGAACTCATTAGGTAAAACTTGTTCAATTTCTTTCTCTTCAAATAATTGTGCAAGTTGTAAAGATAAAAATACATATTTATCTAGATGGAAAAGAGATCAACAACTAGCAGGAAATGGCGCGCTATTTAACAGCAATTTGGATTCTATTCAAGAATGGTGTGAAAGCTTAGCTGAATTAATTTGGCTTAATCGTCAACAAATTAAAGAAGCAGAACGTTTAAAGCAAAAATTTGCGTTAGAACCACCAGGAATGCAAGATATTCTTCCTACTTTAAATGCCCAAATTACACAGTTACTTAGTTCGTTAGTTACAAGTACATTCATCATAGAAAAACAACCACCGCAAGTAATGAAAACTAATACTCGTTTTACAAGTACAGTACGCTTGCTTGTTGGCGGAAAATTGAATGTTCACATGACTCCTCCCCAAGTTAAGGTGAGCATTATCAGTGAAGCCCAAGCAAATGCTTTATTAAAGAGCGATAAAATGGCAAAGAATGGAGAAGCTAGCGGTGAAATTTTAAATAATACGGGGACGATGGAATATCATCAGGTAAGAAGAAGAAAATAAAATTATCATAATTCACTATATTGCTAAAACAAAACATGAGCCATCATGCTTTTACTTTCTAGGCAACAAGACAACTTTCTGTAAGCTTTCGTAATATGCAGTTAAAAAAGATCAAAAGAGCAGAAAAAAAAGGAACGGAATCTGTGATGGATGAAAAATTTTCCCTTCTCTTTCAATCGCAATTTAGCGTTGGGGGAGGTGAATTGGTATTCGCAGTTTGGACTCTAAGTTTACCAGTTGTAGTAATTGTACATGGAAATCAAGAACCACACGCATGGGCTACAGTTACATGGGATAATGCATTTGCTGAACCTGGAAGAGTACCATTCGCAGTGCCTGATAAAGTTCCATGGGGTCAAGTAGCTGAAGCATTAAATGTTAAATTTAAATCTGCGACAGGTCGTTCATTAACGGAAGATAATTTACGATTTCTCGCGGAAAAAGCGTTTCGCGGTGGTAATGCAAGTGGGCAAGACTACTCTAGTTTGCTTTTGAGTTGGGCACAGTTTTGCAAAGAGCCATTACCAGAAAGAAATTTTACGTTTTGGGAATGGTTTTATGCTGTGATGAAATTAACCAGGGAGCATTTAAAAAGTCAATGGATGGACGGTTATATATTGGGATTTGTGAGAAAGAGACAAGCAGAAGAAATGTTGGCGAGTTGTGCGTCAGGAACATTTCTAATGCGTTTTTCAGATTCTGAACTTGGTGGTGTTACTATTGCTTGGGTTGGAGGTAAATATCTATACATTTTACTACTTTGAACTAGAGTCGTTACTGTTTTCTCTTTCAGTCAATATTCTCCAATTTTATATTAATATTTGTAGATCAGACTGAAGTTTTTATGTTACAACCTTTCACGAGCAAAGATTTTGCGATACGTAGTTTAGCTGACCGTGTGTCCGATTTACAACACCTGCTTTATCTCTATCCAGACATATCGAAAGACCAAGCATTTTCTAAATATTACACGCCATTTACAGGTAAATATCCTTTACTCTCGTTTCTTCACTTTTATTCATTTTCGTAATACTTTGAATTGAGATTGTATAAAATATATTTTATCATAGAAAATCAATCTACATCGGCAAATGGATATGTGAAACCGTTTTTGGTAACGCACGTACCTGGTTGGGGCGGGCCTGGTGTCGGTGGTCAAACACCGTCGCATTCCTCCGTAGTAGGAGTAGGAAGTAGCGGTCAAAGTGGTCCCGGTGGTAGTTATCCAGCAACACCATCAACTATATTTCAAGCGCACAGTCCAGATCCCTCTGTAACGCGTGATACTCCATCAGTGGCTTCCAGGTCAGTCCCCTGGATTTAAAATATCAATCGTATCATATACATTTTTTTATTAATATAAGCTGCCATAGAAATTTCAATATAAGATATGCAAAGATTCTTTTTTGTTTCTTCGTGCAATGTATTTAAATATCGGACAAGTATATGTTCTAAGAAGTGTGTCCGAATTTTTTAATTCATAACATACCATTTCCGGTGACTGCAATAATTATTTTATATAATATTATACGACTATCGTATGTACTGTTTATTAATAACATATCGAATCGACATGATGTTTGAGTACTTAATGTTTGGTCAATAAAAATAGATTAATGAAGAGTTTCTAAAAGGCAGAAACGACACATTCCTACAACTAATAACACTTTGCATGTCTTTTATATTCTATCTGTGCAGATGAATGTCAGTATTGTTTTTTTTATGTTTTCTTTTTGCGAACATTTAGCAAATATTATAATTTACAATAATACTGTAGTTTCAAATTTTGTAAACTTTTTAATGAAATTTTGAAAATTTTTATATCTGATTATTATAACATAAAATGAAAGTGTAAGTAACGTTAAACCCTATCTAACAATTTTATTTACAATTAAGTAAATCGTATACTGAAGAATACTGGATGCATAAAGACAATTTTGATAAAAAGCATATTTTATTATGTACACGATACTGACGATTGCTGAAGTTAACGAATTTTTTGGCGTTATTCAGTTTTTTCCTCTTACAATTAGATTTTGTTTTAAATTAACCCTTTGAAGACGAGTATCGGCAAATAGCCGCCCGAATCTGTTCACAGTTCCAGACACTTATTTTGAAGTGGCTGGCGTACGTCTATTTTTCTGAAATATTTACGCGTATTTACGCATAAGTATAGTAAACTAAACAGTATTATGTTTTTGATGAAAGAAAATTATAGATCTTTAGCGATGAGACCTTATATTCCGTTTAACGTAAACTCGCGATGTAGGATGATGGTCAAGTCAAAACGAATTTCAGTCTTTCAATGGCATTACCAGACGAATCAGCAAGCTTTTTATATATTTTATATTTTTTATAATACTTTATACACGATGCCTAAAAAATCTAGAAAGGACATGTTCGATAGTGATAGTAGTGATGACGAATATTATTTTGAACTTGACAAGATAGAAGACGACGACAGTGCTTCAGGCAGTGGAAACAAATTCCGTTCAATAAGCAATCGGTTCAGAAGTTTCAATATTTCTAATGATAGTGACAGCGATGATGAACTAAATATTGATGAAAATAATATAAGCCTCGACAATGAATAACGCAAACGTTCAACGTGTATATTTTCTCAACTACGCGCACCGATACCTCTCGTCGAGCGGCCCCGTCCGCAAAGATTTAACCTTCATGTTATCCAGTATTCTATGCTGATATTATAATTTTTTATCAATAAGCATATGACTAGTATTAAGTGGCATTATTAAAAAGTTCGATATAATTCAATAATGCCTCTATTAAATTTCCAAAGTCCTCCACAAGAATGTTTCTACTACTATTTAAAGAGAACAGAAATACGTTCTTAAAGGAATGGTTGATAAATAGGCTATTTCATGCTTATTCTGAAGATTTACGCGATACTTTGTAGTACAGTGGATAATACAGTTATATTATAATATTTCAAACTTTATAAAATTACTTGTAAAGCAAATTGTAATGAAATCCGTCCAACGGATAAAGTAGATACAGTAGATTGGAGGATCTTTGGATGTATGGCGTAAGGATCATCGATCTTTTTAAGTTTTTCGCTCTTTTTTCCTTTGTTTCTATCATAAGTTATAGTACGTAATTTGTAGCACTAATAATGAACATAAAAAAATAACAGATTAAGGACCAATAACATATGCGTTCTCCTCAGACTGCCAAATTTTATAAATTTTCTTTTTTTTTCTCTCTATCTTTCTTTAAAGAGAAACGGCTTACCCATGGCATTACAAAACAAAACAAATAAAAGTGAAAAAGCTGTTGTATCGCTAATAGTATTCTGTATGTATAAATATATATTCTCTCATACATATACACATGTGCGTGTTGCACACACATGTGTGTACATATACATATATCTTTTTATATATAAATCCATGTGAAAGAGTAATATGTTACGAATCTGTGCATGTGTAAAAGTAATACACGAAATTTTGAAAAATCGAAGGCATAGGCCTGGAGCAAGCCGGTACAACCACAGCAACGGAAAATTAAATGCATAAACGCTACTCCTGATAAAAAACACAACTCCAATCACAGTTACAATTCTAGTACTGGCAATCGAGCGTATTTAAACATTATTGCTAAATTGTTATGAAGCAATGGCACTAGAATTTTAATAAAAATTCGTCTAAATAGAGTCATACAATAGGTGTAATTATAATAGAGTAGAAATCGGGGATAAATAATAGCTCTCAAGTGACCGATCAATCTTGGCTAGGTTGGGGATTTCTTGTGGTTGTTTGTATTTCCTTTGCCGTGTTGTACCGCTATCAGGCTAATCGGTCACACGTTTCGACGAAATAGACGATTCTTAATGATTCGTATGTATGATATAAGCGATAAATTGAATTTTTAAAGTAGTCAATCAAGAGAGAAGGAAAAAGAAAAAAAAAAGAACAAAATTGGATCGAATCGGTTTCGTATCACACGCAATATGTTTTGATTCAGTAAGAGTCTCTTGTTCATTACTATGCCAGTGATTGGAGTTGTGCTTTTAATTTGTGGTAGCTACGCTCCGGGCCTTGGCCAGTCAAGCGTTGGGCGAACAAATCCGGACATGGACTATGTGGAGTTGATGGGTCACAGCGAACTCCCCTCGATCGACGAAAATCTCAACTTGGATCACTTTACCTTCTCTGAGTTCATACAATCCTACAACACTAAGCCACAATAGGTATGTCAGGCGTGATATATTTCTTGTATCTATCTATCGATCAATTATCTTTATTTCTTATCCCAATTATATTTTTAATCGTACACACAACGAATGTAATGCGTTATTATCGTTGTTTTATAGGGGAGGGATGTAAAAATGTTTTCGTCGTTTGCAATATATATTATCTTAAATATATATACACACACACACACACACCTATTAAGTAGGTTTGTCTCCGAGGAAACGTGGCATATCTTTGATTTTCATCGTGTAAGAGTGCAATATGTTTCAGAGCTATTATCATTTAGTTCTATTATAAATGAATGATTGAGATCGGTCTTTATGTAGTAACATTGTCGAGTTGCAATTACGTATGCCTGAGCGTACCATGTGCAATGGTACTCTGTATATCGCTTTATAAACCTAATACTTAATTTTCGATTTTGACTAAATGCTTGCTACGGAACGACGGTACAATTCAATGTATGGAGTGTTCAATTGAGTGATATTGATCGACCGAAAGCATTCGAGACACACGATTGTAGAAACTGGTCTTATTCTACCATTTAGATTTTATTCGAAAACAAACAGTGTTCGCCACAAAGTATCGAATATTGTGCATGAATACTTTACCATGACCAGGGAAATATTAATGTGTAGTGTGCAATTATAATGCTATATATACAGGGTAACGATAATTGCTTTACGAGTATAAGATTAAACGAACTTTGTGTTTTTCTCTTAAGTAAAAGATGACTTACATTATGTGATCAAAGTTTTAGTTATTAATTGGAAAAAATGCACAAGAGAAACTTGTAGCAGGTGACGATGAGATCTAGATGTCAGCTGAAAGTAGAATTGCTATGATAATACGTAGAATATAATACAGACAATCATTTGCACGTCCATTCATGTAAATAATGAAATAAAAAAAAAAAAAGAAGAATTTTAATTTACTAATGGGCCAGCGTGCCGGAATAAGAAACGGGGTTTGTGCAACGCTAATATGAAGTATGTGTAACATGTAATCAGCGTGACCTAAATATGTGCCTTATAATCTTCGAATTAATGCTCGTTATATTTTTTGAAAACTCTTATAGACAAGTTGCATGTATTTTTAGCAAAAAATTTTGTCTTCGAGTCGCCGTTTAACTTAACTAACGAAGAAATATTATGTTTCTTATCATTTAAATCTCTTTTATATTGAAATCTAACTTCCAAAAATTTTTGGAGAAATTAAAATTGAATATTTCCGTTTGGTGCGTGATATTTTTAGTGCGATGTACGACATGCGACGAATTTATATTTTTCAATTGTTGCCGAAGTAACTTAAACTTTTCGGTGAACCTTTTAGATCTCTAAGCGTAGGAAGTTTCTATTATCGGTTAAAATAGATAATTACATATTCGTTTTCTAATAATCGTTCCCTCCCCTATAGTTTATGTACTTTATTAAAAACTATGAATTGTTGCGCGTATATACAACATCGATATACGCTAAATTTTTGAATAGGATTGAAGTCGTCGTTATCCTAATTATATTTACTATATATAATATAAATATTATATAATATTATATATATATATATATATGTACGTATGAATCCATGTACGTACGTATCTATGTATGTATGAGTGCATGCATGTACCTGATGGTGTACATGCGTGTACATACGTACACGTGTATGTATGGATGTATGTAAAGATAAACTAAATTTTGAAAGACTAGTGCGTTAATACTGTTTATTATTAAATCTATTGTCTATTATCTTTTATCAAAGATTAGAGTTTATTTTATTATTGAGAACAATTTTACTGTTTGTAAAAGATATACGTTATTATTATCTTTATTCCTCTATATATAATAATAATTATTATTATATAAGCGTAAAATATAAGATGTGTTCGCATACCGAATCGACATACCGAATAAAATAGCTTTTAATTCGATTTTTAAATTGTTTTTATTCAAGTTTTAAACAGTTCAATATTTTTTCCTCTAAATATTTATTATAATATACGATAGAAATTTATACATGGGAAAATAGAAGTTAATACATGGGAAAATAGAAAATAAGTTATACAGAAGTTTTGTTACTCGGATTACAATTATTTTTGTTCGTATTTCATTCACACGTCACAGTTTCACCTATTTGTGCCGGGAGATTATCGTATTTGAAATCCAAACATTCGCAATCAGCTGGCATACAAGTATCTTCGTAATATCCGGGTGCGGGATAACTCACTTGGTAAATAGTATCAGCACACATAGGGTCTAAAGGTGGTTGATATTTTTCTTTAGATGCCCATGGTATATGTTCCTTGGGAAGCGGAGTCCAAGACTGATACGATAGTTTGTTTATAGTGTCATATTCAATTTTTTCAGATCTAACAGTTTAGTAAAAAGTATGTTGGTTAGTCAAGTTGGTCAAGGAATTATTGCGCAATTTGTTATAGTATTAGGTTGCTGGATAAGATCTGTTCGCTAAGAATACATATATAATTAATGACAATTACAATTTATAACATTCATCTATGTGCATATAGCATTATGTATCTTTTATAAAGAAAAAAAGAACTTATTAAGTTGTTTGCGACCACAAAGTTGTTTCTTTTTTGTTAAACTTCTTTCAATTTTGGAATGAATGCAATAAATATCCTTTAACTTTGGAGCGAAAGTGTATACAACAACGTAATATGCTTGGCTAATAAGAAATGTCTGATCTACCTCTGATACTGAACGACAGGTTTAAAGCTTTTAACCCATTCTACTGGCCCAGGTTTCGCGTAAGATAGTTTCGTTGTAGTTCTGTCGTCAATAGGTGTATCTGGGCTTCGAAGATTATCACATGGAATAATGAGATCCGGTCGTAACGTAATTTTTTCCACAAAATCGCAACGGTTGGTAGTTTCGGATTGCATTAGACCATCGCCTATCATGTTTCTGCTTCGAGGTAATATCGGCAAACGTCTTTCGCTTTGGACCGGTAGGTAACTCAACTGTAGGAGAATTAATAGAATTAATAGGAGAAGAAGGAAACAAAGAGTAGTAATAAGAGATGCATTTAGTAAAGTAAGAGATGCTATTAGTAAATTAAGGGTTGTTAGAATAAAGAGACAATTTCATTTTTCAGCAATTTAAATAAACTAACTCAAAATCAAAGCATTTTTTGATATATACTACAAATTAGTGGTCAACTAATATTTGTAATAATAAATTTTTGAACTTCTGAATATGAAAGTTTTAAGTATGTAATCTATAACTTTCTTTCTTTTCCAATAAATATAATTTAAATATTGAAATTGTCTTCTTTTTGCTGTGATGTTTTCAGATGTTACAGAAATACATTTACTTTGCTTGTTGTATCTGTTGAAATTTTGCCATCAGGTTTCGAGATAGCATTGCAAGGAATAACAGGTTCCACTCGTTCAACGATAGCCGATTGCAAATAGCTTTGTTTATAAATAGTATCCGAGTGAAATTCACCACCGATAGGAAAGACATTGGCAGCAGTCGGCCGTACAGGTTTCTCCATGCATGGCTCTTCGTTCTTTAAGAAACTTTCAGTGTACGTTGTCTTTCCGCACATAGCAACATCTGGAGCTCTATAAACGTTATAGTAAAAACATCCCTTTGGTTTATCTATTTAAATCGAATAAGCCACAGGGTTTAATTATGGCAATCAATATTTTTGAGATGTCTAAGGAGGTAGTAAAACAGATGTTTAGTACAAAAATAAAGAAACAAATTTAGTAATATAAGACTAGTTGACAGCATATTATATTTTAGTAAATACTATAATATTGTATTTTAGTAAAAGTCCTCCCTTGTAAGACACAAAAAGTATGACTTTCATATCTTTCCCCTGTGGTATTCAAATATAATACATATATACTGGTAGATTGGTTTCTGCTGCCAGGAGTACGTATCTCTTTCTGGAATGTGAACAGGTTGATAACTTAACTTCTGTGTAGTATCAGTAAAAATCGGTTCACTAGGTGGATAGTAAATCGCTATGGGTTTGAAGTTCAATGTCGGTTCCGTACAGCCTGGGTCCGCATAAGAAAGTTTCGCTGTGGTACTAGCATCCAGCTTGCCGGAACTTAAACGAATGTTCCCACAAGGTATTATAATTTCTGGTTTGTCCACGTATTTACGCGGGTAATCCTGACGAATTGTGGTAACAGACTCCATTCGACCAGATCCGATCATCGGCCTAACACATCAGAGAATGACATCTAACAGATTTCTTAATTTCATTCGTTTCAATTCTTTAAACTCGTTACCTTTGCCTGGGTATGATTGGTTTTGTTTTAGGAATACTCCCAATGTGTTTGTAACTCAATTGATTAGTCGTTTCACCGAGAAATCGAGCATCGGATTTAGTGAGAGCAGGTTTGGGTCGGATAGGTTGAGATCGGCTGCGTCGCATTTCCGCATGATCCACGTTTAAATATGATAAGTGATATGTGGTATTATTTTCGAATAATTTCGAAGGAGGCTTATACGTTCTCACCGGAGCGAATGACTTTGCTCGAGACGGTTGCACGTATTTCCTTGTGCACTAGATATGCACGATATTAAATCACCCAGTTTATCAGTCGGAAATTATAATAGAAAAATTAGTGGGTTCGTTACTTTAATGTCACAGGGGCATTCTGCTGGTTTCTGGCACGGCAGTTGAACCTGCTTCTTTGTATTCTGTATCTCCACTACTTCCATTTTGTACTTAATATTATTACATATAATAATAGCAATCAAAAACTATTTCCCTTTTTATGAATAAGATAGAAAAACGGTGTTTATAGTCAATAAATTTAGATTCTCAAAAGATTCGTAATATATAAAGTATAACAATATAAAACAATAAAAGTGCAGCTGCGAACACGAATCTCTACATTCCGTTTTATGACTTCAGTGACATACAATTTGGAGAGGCAAACTTCGAAGTTACTGTTATGTCATCGTTATTTAAATGGAAACAAAATAAAGCCAATGATAAAATCGATTGTGTCGATGATCGATTTGTATACTCAAATCATAGCAATGGTAAGAACAAAAATATTTGTTGATATTTTATAGACCGAAATGATTTACTAATAATAACTGTAATGGAAATTTCTGTCTTAGCTACTAATAGAAAATTTATTTTCTCGTACGTATCGGATAAAAATATAATATGAATATGTAGAATGTTTATTTTAAACAATAAGAATATGTCTTTTTGCTATTTTAGATCACAGTTAATTTTTAAGATTAGATAAATGTTCCTTTTCGACAGTATCTAGCGAAAATGCATGTAAATCGATGTGTTTTTAAGACAATAGTACATGGAAGACATAGAAAACATACAATGCAATTACGTGTAATTGATCACGTTTCATTTTAAGGGGATGTCATGTATATGCGTAGTCGTAAAACAGTGCCTGCATTCGTTTTATCATTTGTCTCACATTTCCACGAAGCATATCGAAAAACATTGTGTTAACATTATATATATTTACTGTATACAATATAATCATACTATGATTCGAATTAATATAGTCGAATTAAAAGAAAATGGTATAAACACAAGATAAATTAAATGTAATTGTCGATAAATCTACGCAGACCGTAGATTAGAAACTAGCGTTTGAAAAAAGAGGTAGTAATGCGTGATAAAATTAAGAGAGACAGCACAAATAATAAGATGCGATATTTGTAATGCATCGAATAATTCTTCTCAGTTGACACAGGGCTAATGCTATTTTTCAAGCATTCAAGATCTTTTTAACACCAAGAGAAGAAAGGGCTTTTATTCTGGAAGCGCTGTGTAAATGTATCAGAGAACGAGAATAGTCTTGGTGCTCCGTTTCCCTTGGCCCTGTAAAATAACATTGGTAAGATCAAATTTTATTTATATATCTTCTTGTAACTTATAAAAAATATGTAAAATACTTTTCAACGATCACAGCAGGCATTTGTACCAACTGCACAGGGCTTTTGGCATCCTTTAAAGCTTGTTGTAAGTTCAAGATTTGACCGCGCATTACACTCATTTGTTTATCAAAATGAGGTCGATCGAAACCTTTATCTTGCTATAAGAATAAATGTGTTTTACTGTAGAGTTATGATTGTAGAATACTATATATGTTTATATAAAATAATCGCCATTTTATACGACTTACTTTAAATAATTGATATAAATCGTCACAAAGATCTTGTACAAAATTTTGATCCGAAAGTTGTGGTAATACAAGTTCTCGCGTTACATCGCTAAATGGTTGTTTCGCTTGACTTAACCATGCCCAGTGATACGGATAAGCACGCCATGAATCGGGATGTTTAAAAGGAAAAGCCAAACCATTATCTATAGCGGCTATTTTTACTTCACCCTGTTCTGATCCGTTTTTTCCTTTACTATTATCGTATTTAATTAACCAATTATCATTACCTTAAAAAAAGTCAGTGTGTCATTTAATAGTTTAGCTTTAAATATAAAAATAAAAAAATCTTACGAAACGTTAAATACCTCTGTCAGTATTTCTAATTATATAGTCCAAAATAACTAAGCGTTCGAATTGAAGTTGAAATTCTCTACTAAGACGTGGTGATAGAGGTTCATTTTCCCATCGCCTTAACCAGTAATCAGCATCCTTGTAACCATCTACGAAAACTTGAAAAGAACCAACTTTCGGCGGCAAACCAATACGATTGAAATGAGATCCCACTGTAGGAAACTGGTCCATGATAGCTTGCTTCATACGAGCTTTTTGACGGTCTAAGCGTGGGTAGTTAAATGTTTTACTGACAAGTTTGACTACTCTAGTATTTGGAACTATACCCAGACCCAATTTACGGTCAACTAAACTTGCACCCGCCTCACTGAGGTATCCTTGATTTGGAATTAAACAACTTCTCCCAAAACAACACGGACAACAAAGTTTGTGCATCCATTTTGTCCATTTTGGATTTAATCTTCCATAAGGTTCTTCATCCTTTGGCTTAAAAACACCTATTATTTTCTATAAGACAAAATGTCTTGTTATTGTTATAAGATTATGATTTTAAATGGTTGATTAAATAGATTGTAATTTTTAAATATAAAATGAAGTTATACCTTACCCCTGTGGGATTTTTTACAAAGTAACTGCCACTAGAACCTTGGTATATCCTTTCGGGGGAGATTCCATTGTCTATTGCCAATTCAGCCTGCCATACTAACTCGGAGAATTGTGGATCATCTATAACATATAACAGATTTGACTAGAGATAAAGAATTAGAAGATAAATCTATTAGAATAGATATTAACAAACCAGGGAAACGATTAAAGGTGACATCCAGCTCCAGTCGACCAAGGAGAGGCTGGCTCTCCCGGTCCATCCCAGGGGAATCAATGGCTATGGTTTGTTCGTTGCTCAGATTGGGAACAAATTCAACGTCTGGTATTAGTTCTGAACACTCATTTACTGGCAAACAATTGTTAGATGTGATTGAAAGATCTACCAATGCATCAGTTTCCACTAAGGCAGAAGTATTAGTATTGTTCTGGCTATGATATTCTCGATAAGGCACGTGTAATTGCCGCTGTTCGGAGTCGCTCATTACAACCGAATCTGCTAGTTATTTGGCAGATCCTTTTATCACCCGTTTGTTTAAAAAATCGTTTGCACAAATAATCCTATCTATTTCCCCATATTCCTTTCCCACCTGTCAATGATGCAAACGATCGAACTCGTGTTTAACAAGTATTTTCGCCATTACAAATTTTAAAGCAATCATTGCGTCATTAAAATAACAACTCTGAATTATTATGAATTTATTAACTTATGAGAATAGCCATAGAATAAAGGCATATGTTTATGATGCTTAGGGGAGCACTGTGTAACTAATTAATATCTACGACTCGTCATTCCAGCAGACGATATCAGCTGATAGGATTAACGCCATACTTAATTTTTTCTATACTGTTGTATATGTTCGCATGTAGATATAAATTATAGCTTTCCATTTATACAGAAAATACATCTTTAATTATATAGATATATTCGTCATATTCTGTCTACATAAATTTGTCTACACAAAGTGAATATAATTAATCGTATTTTATAATTAATTGATTAATTAATCGTATTTTTCTTTTAAATCAGATATAGTGAATAATAATAAAGTTGCCATATAATTTTAAATAAATATTACACTTTGTTAATACATTTTATTTATATACACATACCATGAAGTTGAAAAGTATGAAACTGAAAAGTTTCTTTTAAAGATGCATAGAAAAAACTTAAATTTTGTAGATACAATTAAAATTCTCAAAAATGTATGATGTTATTTATAAAATCTCATTTTATTTTTAGTTTATATAATAAACGATGTTAACGGATAAAATTATAAAACATAATATATAAATAGAATTCATCACAAAAATTGTCTAGAAAGTCACATCAACCAATCAGTATATAGAACGGTCTATCGAAATATAAACAAGGAAGATAACGTTAGAATAATAGTCGTGTGTGATACTCGTATCCGTGTACTTACGTGAGCCGGTGCTCTAGTAGCTTCGGTTTCCCTTAAACCTTGTCCGGTTATTAACTTACTCTTTCATAATTAAGATCGTGATGTGCCTTTTGCGTACTTACTTAATTATTTTGTATAATTCAATAATTCGTGCATTGATTACGCGAAACTTTTCATCTTTATCGTTATTCCTCTACCGGTCGTCATGATTTATAATTCTTATAGCTCAATTAGATAACAAATTTAATTAACATAATTTATTTAAAGTATTTAATTACCAATTATCAATGTAAATATTTATATCTTAAAAAAGTTATATATGTGTTTACATACACATATATACATTTACATATGTGTATATATATATGTACATACATACACAAATATACATAAAGGAGGGAAAATAAATTGTACATACGAAATTTTAATTCTAATTTTCTAAAAAATAAAAGTTTATCTGTGCAATTAATGCATCCTGTAAGGGGCAACATGTTTCTCGTATGCGTAACTGTGGGCCTTGTACTTTTGGCCTCCAAATATCACAAAAATGTCTTTCAAAGTGTTAGACATCTCTGTCAATGTATAAACAGTAAAAGCTGTAAGCAAAGTGATAATAAGAAGAAAGATCTTAAAATCACATTGGACAAAATCATTTTAGCTGATACTCCAGAAAAATGTGATTATGCTATTCAACGTATTCATTGGTAAGTTGTACAATTGTTTTTATCTTAATATTAAATTACATATTCTAAATGCTATATATAGAAAGTATACACTAGTGCTCTATTTACATTTTTTCTTGTATACCTAACTATGGACTTTTAGAACGTTATTTATATTGATATATATTTTTTTAATTACTTACTTGTTATCCTTCAATAAGTTCCTGCTATTTAAGAATTTTAGAGTATATTCATATATTTTAATCATACATATATCTTTTTACAATAATAAATTTTTGCTTGGTAATGGTCCTAAGTATATAATTAGGATTTTCATACATTTTATGACAATACATAATTAAAAGTATAGAAATGTAATTTTAAACATCGTCATTATTATTATTCATTTGTTTATCTTGGAATAAATATCTTTTGTGTTAAAGCAACTTGTCTAATGATGTGCTGGGTTTTGATTGTGAATGGGTCAATGAAGGATCTGTTTCTTTGCTTCAACTTGCTACATTTAATGGAGTATGTGGCCTTTTTCGCATTGGCAAAATTGGATATATTCCTCAAAAATTGAAAGTATGTAATATTTCACAAATTTAAATCAATATGTAAATTAAATGGTTATGTAAATAATATGACAAACATTTTTTTAGGATTTACTAGCTAATAAAGATATTCTTAAAGTAGGAGTTGCTTCATATGAGGATGGACAGAAGATATTAGCAGATTATGGGTGTAGAGTTAGCAGTACAATTGATTTAAGGACATTAGCAGCACGAGTGAAGCTACCAAGTCCACAAAGTTTAGCTGCAATGAGTTTGCAATATTTAGGCTTGGAAATGGATAAATTGATAGAAATTAGGTGCGGCAATTGGGATGCTGGCACTCTTACTGACGAGCAAGTAGCATATGCTGCTTGTGATGCAATTGCATCTGTTCTTATTTATGACCAAGTAAAATATAATCTCTAATGCATTTTAAATAATTTCATTACAGAAAAATATATCTAATAACTTATTTCATATTTTATAGATTACGCAGAAAATGAAAGAGAAGTATTCATTGTGGGAAATCTTAAAAAATTATATAAAAAGTATGTGTAATAAAAATCTAAATATGCATTTTCATTGTGTACCTAATGATGTAATTGATACGAGGTAATATGTTTAATATATTAAAAACATTTATTTTATAAATATCAAATATTAAAAATATTTTGAATTCCAGGTTCAAGGCTCAACATGAACACACAACTATTACAGAAAATAATCATTTTGGCAAGAATACCAGAAATTACAAAGCAAATAATAACACTATACGTAAAAATAATGTACCTACAAGAAATAAACCATTATATCATAATTGTTACTTACAAGCACCAGATGGAGAAATATTATGTACATGTGATCGTAAAAAAGCAGAATGGTATCTTACAAAAGGATTAGGAGAAGTAATTGAAAAGGAACCACTTACCGTCAGGTTAAAATTTGAACCTTCTGGGCGAGCTTTGGGACAAGTTGGACAGTATTACACACAAATTAAAATCAATCAGTGTGTGGTTTGTGGAACATCAGATAAGTTTATTAGAAAAAACGTTGTACCTCGAGAATATCGTAAATATTTTCCATGTAAGTTAAATTTCTTTTAAATAAAATTTTATTTAAACTCCACATATAGTAAAATGCGTTATTAATAAATTTCCAAATATTTTCTAGTGGTGATGAAAGCACATCAATCTCACGATATATTATTATTATGTCCATCTTGTCATGAAATTAGCAATTATCATGATCTGCAGCTCAGAAGAAAGCTAGCAGACATGTGCGACGCACCTTTAGTTGGCCCATTGACACATATACGTAATAAAAATGTAGATAATTCAAGGAAGTTACATTCAGCTGTTAAAGCTTTAAGAGAAAGAACAACTTTGCCTGATGCACGACGTAAAGATTTAGAACATTATATTTTAGAATGTACAAATGAGAAACAAGTTACACCAACTCTGCTTGATGTATTAAACAAAAAATTAGAGAACACAATATCAATACCCAATCCTGATCAACCTAAATGCCAACCTCATGGTTTAAAGGTATCATTAATGAATGATAGATGTTCTTTTGTTCTATAAAAATATTACAAATTTTATTTTTCAGGTTGTTCAATATTTTCATAAAAGGGAAGGCGGTTTAGTAGAATTGGAACGTATGTGGAGGGAACATTTTCTTCTGACTATGAAGCCAAAGTATCTACCAAATCTATGGTCTGTTCATCACAATCAAGAAAGATTAATTATTCATCAATCACAAAACAGAATTAAACCAGAAGATGCAAAGGTAGCTGGTTTGGCATACTGAATTTTAAATATTATGTACCTAAAGGACTCGTATAAGAGCGAGTACTTGTATTAAAAGACTGTTACATAAATTTGTATCTCTGGTTATGTGCATATATTTATATATATACATGTACATACATATTATTTATATATTTAGATCTACACACATGTACATAAGAATCGATAACGTTTTTCCTTTTCTACCTTACTTTGATGAATAAGATTGGTTGTAATTTGTAAAAACCTTTAATTTGTAAAAAACAGAGACTTATTAAATAACGTTTTATTTTATTTCAACATTTTAACCAATACTAAGACATAAGTATATCAATTTTGTCGATAGATGTTCCATATTATTTATTGGTGACTAAAGTGTCATTACATTTATATATACAGACTTCAAAAGTATATCAATTAAATTTCTAGTATTACAGTTTTTTTGAAACATTTTGTTGTATAGAATTACTGTTTGGGGGAGGAGTCTTCATAGTTTTTAGTTCTTCGTCAATACGTTCTTTAGCACGTACAATTTTTGACTGAATATAAAAAGAACCACCTTTTGATCTATCATTAACTTCCATAAGATGCTTATAGTTACGTTCAATAGCTTCTACTTCATCCACACGTTCAACATTCAATATTTGTAGTGCTTCTTCCAAAGAAATACCAGTCTTGTAATTGGCTGCGACGTGTTGAGTACCTCGTGCTCCACCACCTGTTTTATGTGCAGCAGCTTGACTTGCTGCAATTTCTTGTCGTAATGCACGTGTAAATGCTTTAACAACGACTTGTGTACCCATTATAATTATTTGTATTAAGTGTTTTGCCATAACCTCTTCCCTCTTATTGAAAATAGTTGTCAAAACAATTTGCAGTATATTTTTCTTTTGCGGTTTAGCTTTCGGAAAATATTTATACTAAACAAAATTCCTTTTTTATGATATTCAAATAGTAATATCACTGTTTTCAAATTTTTACGATGGTTTCTTTATATAACTTATTCGTTGCACGTCTCATACTCGTATTGCACCATTTTAAAACGCACATGTACTATATAGAAATACATATATTACTCTAATATTACTGATTGTCTGTATATGAAGTTTCTAATTTAAAAAATGATGTCTATATTACAGTATCAAACAAATTTGTAGAATGCTAACTTTACATAAAGATGCAATATATATTAGATAGATAGGCTGTTTTCGTTTTTAGAGGACGTGTGAGGTTATGAGTGATTAAAGGAACATCAACAAAATAATGTTAATTAAATTTTGATTAACATTGGAATTAAAAAATCGTTAATTCAATAATTTATAATTATTATTACTTTTATTATTCAATAATCTTATATTTACAATCTGTTGGTCAATTTTTATGTAAAATAAAGTAGAACCTGTCTTTAAACTTCTTACTAAGATGAAATAAAAGTATTTATATTCCATCAATTTATTTTGAATATTAAATGTATGCTCAGTCAGGTATCGGCAGCGTATTAAAATATTTCAATGCATTAATTGCACAAGAATTTTCTAAATTATACAAAGGATGAATTATTTTCACTAAATTTAAATTAGGCGATCCAATGATCAATGGCAATGGAGAATTCTGTGCAATTGACAATCCACTAAGTGCATAACATGTATGATATACATCTTGACTTCTGAAATAAATATAATAATTTATAAAATTGCTTTTACAATAAGTAATAGCAGTGTTTCATACTTTCCAGGCTTGTCTACAAGACTCCCATGAGGATGTTGGCAGCAGATTAATAAATATTCTTGTAAGGCTTCTTGATTAAACAACCAATATGCGGAATTAAACACTTTGTTCTCCATACTTAAAATTGTATGAATCAGTGGAAAGGCTCCACCTTGCCAAAATGAATAACAGCCATCTACTAGTTTCTCTGTGCGCCCCTGGAATCCACCTTCCAAACGCATTTGTTTGTTTACTATCCACCTCTGAAAATAAATAGATATGAAGAATGGCTTTTTTAATGTATACGTATTATAAAATTCACTATATCAGCTGAATACCAGAAATGATTTCAAACAACAGAAGTGAGGTTTTCCAAGAAGCATAAGTGCTGCTAACCCACAAAATCCATATCCTCCATGAGCTTCCATGCCAGGAGAACCACCAAAACCACCTTCCCATGTTTGACATTTAGCTATCCAACTTTCACTTCCCTTAAATATTTCAGGAGTATATACATTTGTCAGTTTTGCTACAGAAAGAGCACAATATATTCCTCTTATATCTGTTTCTCCATCTTTATGTAGACTGAAAGAACCATCTTCTCCATGTAAAGATGCTAAAAATTGTTTAAGTCCTTTTCTAAAATCAATACACAAAATCTTACAAATGGAATTTCTAAATTAAAATCTCTTAAAATGTGTACTTTCGATCACTTCTTTTATGTATATACCTATCAATTACTTGATAAGCTTGCGGAGTACCAATAGTACATAAAGCATTTATTGCTGCATATGTAGAGGCTAAATGAGGATGCTGCCCTGGACCTCCTCCAAAGCCTCCTTCTGGTGATTGACATTTGGCCAAAAAACCAATAATTTTTGAATATTCATCATATTCTAAACGTTCTCCTAGGATTTGAAGAGAATGTAGACTCCAATAACAGAGCCATGGTCTGCTAGAATCTAAACACTACAAAAAGTATATATAACAATTTTAAGTATAATTAAAACATAGATTGCTAATAAATACAATCTAGATATTCTTACCTGGTAAGCTTCAGTAAGATGAAACAAAGATTTTTTTAAGAACTGAATATGTTTCTGTCTTGCTAAAACAGGTTCATTACTTAATTTATATAATTTCAGTATATCATTTTCAACACGATCCTAAATTCAAAACATTAAGGAATATTAACAATACAGAAAAAGAAAGTTATATCTGGTAGGTAATTAATTTATTGATATTGAAAGCATACTTGTCGTATTGAACTTGTTGTTTGATATCCTTCATCATCCTGTTTTTGTTTTAATATCTCGGCATAAGTTCTAATGTGTGGTTCATCACGTTCACTAATTTTTGAATTCCACATGATCTATTAAACACGTGGATATATTGTATTAACAATTGAAAGAAATAAATCATGTATTAAAATAAAGATATATATATAAAACGAAGATTGTACTACGAGATTTTAAAGGAAAGACGGAAAAAAGATGGGTCTTTTGTCATTGCTTTAAATGATAAAATTCTGCTTCTTAGTAAAACTTTGAATTTCAAGTAAAATTTCTTCGAATTGAATAATGTTGTAAGGGTTATATCACTTTCACGTTGATCGTATAATAATTACTTCAAGACTCAAGACAAGGAGAAGGTTAAAATTTCTCTGACAGTAACTAATTAGAAGTTGCACCAGATACGTAAATGATTAAAATGTAAGAAGAAAGCTTTAGTTATTAAACTTGTCGTGTGATGGTGCGCTTTGTCTCTAGGAGAATTAACCTATTCGAACATTTCTTCTTAATTTGTAATTTTTATACAAGTAAAAATGTCAGGAGCATTTTTGTTATAAAATATTATTTACACGTATATTGCTAGATTGATATTATTGCGCAATAAAAAGAAAAATAACACGTGGTGTTTAGCACATATCGCGAACTGCAATAATAATAATGTATATTATTACAGATACTAATTTTTCATCAAAAAATTTTGTTATTCATACATTTTACGACGAAAGGACTTGTTTTTGCTGGAATCAAGATAAACTTATAATATTTCCATATACAAATAATGAGTACGTATCTGTTAAAGTATTAACAGCTCCAGCTCCAATAAAAACTATACAATGTTTTACTGGCCGAATTTTTTTAATTTGCATTCCACACGGCGTTTACAAACTTTCAAGGGACCGAGAATTTGCTGTTCTAAGTAAAAATGCAATTGGAATGGGTACTGTTTTTCATGAAGTATTGATACCTAGAAATGAGTATCTTTATTTAGATAATAAGCGAGAAATGACAAATAAACTGCTATTTAAGCTTTCTTCCAAAGAAACTAATCCCAGTCAACTTTATGTTTATCCATTAAATGCGGATGGCATTGTGGAATATTTTATGAAAACTTTAACAAATAATGATTCTACTGTAAAAAATTTATGCATAATTGCAGATGGACTAAAACTTTTAATGCTAATCAATGAAAATGTAAAAATAATGCATAGCAGTATTTATTCCATTAGTAATATAATACCTGTACGAAAGAGTTCCAAAATTGCAGCATTACTTCTTACTACAAATACAAATGTTATTATTTTAATGCATTCAAAAGATAATGTGCTTGTTTTTGAAACAATTTATATAAGAACACAGATACAAGCCATTTGCGCTGGTTTTAGCCAATCCCTAGAAGATATATTATGGATTGTTTATTCACATGAATCTAAATTATATTATGTAAAGAAGCAATTACTAATTGATAATATTTATCAAGTAAAAGTTGAAGATAAAAGCTTTGTTTGTTTACAATCATATGACTCTAATATAATCTTAGGTTTGACAGAAGATAATCAGTTAGTAGAGTTTCCTATAAGTACAGTAGAAAGAACATTGTCAACGGAAAGCAATACTTTTATTAATCTTCACTCCAGTATGTTAGATGGTGTGTCACTTATAATGGATAAGATTTATAAAGGTACTCAAGAATTACAAACTTTAAATGAAATATTAACAGCAGAAAAGGATAAATTAAGAAGAATAAATTTATATGCACATAAAGACAAGATACAGTTATGTCCAAAAATGATGATAAATTACATAGCAAATCGGATATTTTTATCAGCAAATTTTCACGATGTCCTGCCAAAAAATAGTTGGGTCGTCCTTAATGTAAAATTGGGATATCAAAATCTGTTTTGTATGAAGAAAATAGTAGGTCGGGAGACTATAGCTGATATTTATATACCTGAAAATTTAATGGCAGATACATCACAAATTGCAATAGATTTAATAGCTTTTAGAGATAAAAGATATCCTTGGTGTCTAATAAGGAATTATGTAATCAGTGATTATTTGGAAAGAAGAAAGAAGAAAAAGAGATTGAATGTCGATTTTATAAATTCTAAAATTGCCATACTTAAAACTTGTATACAAGAAGGAAACATTAATATGAAAAAATTATCTGAAGTTAAGAAAAGTCTAAGAAAAGAACTTAGTGATATATAAATTTTAACAACATACAAACGAACGGATTTTTTTAAAATTTGATATTTACGTTATATTTTTATAATATAAATTTATATAAGAAATAGGAGTTGAATATATAGGAATCCAACAAAAAAAATCGAATGCATTTGAAAACAAAACTGTATCTTTATTTTGCGGATATAATAATATGTTGATAAATATTTGACTCTTTTTTTGGATACACATTTTTATCGACATGCTTTTTATCAATTCTATAATTATACAATATAGATTATACAATGTTGCTGAAACTATGTGCAATGTGCAGTTCCCTGCTATACACCAATACAGAGCATTTTAGTTTAGTATTAATGTGTATGCCTTTTTTTGGATAATATTTTGATTTATCAAGGAATAATGTGCAGAAAGAGATAACTGAATATCTTTTTCTGCATCATGATTTTGGCAAAATTTTGCTATTGATGTGAGCAATATACACTTATTTTTATTTATAGGCACACTATTACATAATGTTAATCGACTAAAAGTCAGTTTACAAATATAACACACATAAATAGTTGTTATTTTTTAATTTTTCTTTCACATGCTTCACTAATATTTATATCTTCACTTAGTAAAATACAATTTCTGTTGTGAAAATAACATAAAATTGTTATGGGTATAAACTCACAGTTAGTGATATCTATAATTTCTATAAAATACTGTAAATATAAATAAATTTCAATAAGTACTTTAAATTGCTGTTAATAGAATGCATAATGACTAAATGGATTGTAAAAATATTGTCTGTAATATTCATCGAAAATTAAAAATAAATTGGGAATAAAGAACTAAGCAATAAAGAAAAAAAATAATAAAAGAACAATAAATGCTACACAATACATGACACTATATGGTCTATCTATTGTAATCTAAATACATTAATGTTAATTGTAACATAATGTGTTAATATGAGTATATGGATCTTAAAGTTATATTGTATATTTCGTACGAATGTAAAATATTCCATAAAATTGCCCAAAACATTTAAACATATTTTATGTAAATACCCAAACATATTTACATAAAATTCCTTAAATAATAAATATATATTTATATAAAAATTAAAATCTGAATGACTTCTTTTAAATCTGAAGCTCATATTACATTAAAATGAATATTCTTTTGTAATGAAAATGCATAAGCTACATTTCATACTTTGAAATTATAGTATCTCATTCAGTTTTTGAATAATTAATATTTACAAATAATGGTAGTAATTGCTTTCAATTTCTTACGTACTTTTAAAAGCTACTTGAAAGGATTATTGAAATATTTATAAGTTTAAAAAATATGGCAGTAATGGTCTATCTATTAAATTTTAAGAAAAAATAACGATAAGCTGCAATAATTTATATCTAGAATTATAAATTTCATCACTCTATCCAAGTAATTCTATACTGTAGACTTGTTCTGCTTTTAAGAGTGAGTACATGAATTGAATTTCATTTGTCAAGAAAACCAATACTAAATTTTTTTTAGAATATCTAATTACTTTGCACATTTAATGGCTAATTATATATTTATGATTTTTTTATTAGAGATTTTTTGAAATTTAGAAAAACTTCTATTCATAAAATACTATTTTAAACTATTAACTATTTGAAACTTAAGATATGTACAAATGTTGAACATTAAATTTTATATCTGACACACACTCTTTTGTATAATAAAAATATAGTAATTGAGAAAAACAAATGGAATAAAAGCACACATTAGGCATATATCGTTAAAATATCGAACTCTTTGCAATTCACTATTTGTCTACAGGGATTGTGTTATCGCTCAACATTTCTTTTTTTTTTCTAAGAAACACATAACTATTCATGTTGTACATACATCATAAATGAAAGAAGATTTATAAACAAAGTAAATTTCTGTTTTAAACCGAAAGTTAAATTAATTGCATTTTACTATAGCAAATAAATTTAAATGAACATATAATTTGAATTTTGCTATAGAAATCATATCTATTTCTTATTAAAATGCAATTTTTTAAATACGATTAAACACAGTTTATAAATTTTTTAAGGCACTGAATAAAAATACATAGTATTTTTATACCATATATACCGAGAGTTTCATAATTCATTACAAATGGGAACAATTTGTTCCTTCTATTTACACTATTCACATTTGTGTAAGGAATATGATTTAACGAATACAAGATAACTGAAAAATGACGTGTCGTTTCAAAGAACTCTATGTGTCTAAAGAATATATTAAATTATACATTCAGAGTTCTTTTAACCTTCTAATGTAACACGTTCTTAATCAAATACATCCTTGAATAAAGTTTGTTGACTTGATGGTGTAAGAAATGTAAAAAACTAATTGTAGTTATACAACTGCATTTAAATTTGGCTACTTTGTTTTTAAATTTTTAAAAACTTCATTTGCTTTGTGGGGCATAAGCATAACAACAGGATTATTCATATGTAATCATTAAGAAATGTCATATAAATGTGTATTTCATCAATATGAAATGCACATATCATTAAGTATCGTTCTTATGAGGAAATGCATGGTATAGTGATATTTACAAATGTTCAAGAAGAATAGTTGAAAAATATATATGCATTTTGTGATAAACAATAGAAAATGAAGTTTGCTATAATAACGAGAATAAACAATCTTCAGTAAGTGTTCCGCTCTTTTAAAATATAAAATATCTATAAAAAATTATGCAACATTTATTGATTAAAAGTGTATTAAATTTTAATTACGTATGAAATTGTTTACGTAGACTACAAGAAGAGTCAAATGTAGATATATGAGTATCTGAAATTTTGGCAACTTTCCCTGAGCGTACTAACTTTATATATGTAGGACATAGTGGGTGGTTTCCACAAACCCAAATATTTGAAACTTAAAATACACAAGATCAACTATCAATTTGTTTCGCGATAAATATTTAAGTAATTTGTTAAGTACCTAATGCCATGATAGCATTGTATGTCATAGAGGTTTTTCCTGCTCTTCGTTGTTTAATACCTGCAGTGTTAATGTCGACTCACTAAATGCTGTCGACTATTTTCCGAACGTTAAGAGTCTTCTTGCTTAGGCAGGAGATTCGTTCTTTCTTCTTCTTCGATTAATTTTTTTGCTGATATAGCTCTGTTTGCTTCTTGACGAGCCAGAATCTCTGTATTTAAATCTAACTTAGGTTGTGCCTGACCAGGACTGATTATTGTTGTCTAGAATACATGTATGAAGTCATTACTTTTTAGCATAATTTTTTACATTCTATAAAATTAAAATAATGAAATTATGATAATAAAAAGTCAACCTTTACTGGTGAATTTTTAAGTTTTCCATTATGATCACTATATAATGAGATGAATTTCGAATGTGTAATTGGATTAGCACTGACTGGAGCGGGTGAAGTTGGAGCAGTTGCACTGTGAATAGGAGATTGCACATTATCTTTTTCTTTCTCTTTCTCCTTCTCCTTTTTACTTTCTTTTTCTTTGTCAACAGGCAATATCGGAGATTCTGGCATACTACGATCATCTTCATCCAAAGAATGTAGTAACTAAGAATTATGAAATTATTATATAATATAAATTTGATCATATTTTTAAAACCATTAATATCATGCAATTAACCTTTTCTACTTCGTCGTCAAATTGTTGTTCCTGACCGGGTAATGAATCTTTCTGACTTCTTTCTAGAAGTGTGGCTCGTTTCGCAGCCAAATATAAAGATCTTTTAATTTTGACATAAAACACTTCCGTGACTGCCCGTACCGTATAGTCAGGAACGAATGTATACCGTAACATAGAATCTAAATTGATCGATTGTATACTTCCCACCGTTTGAGGATTTGTATTGGTAGGTGACTCAGCTGAAAAATTACATATAAGTCCATGAACATGCTGAATATTTTAGACATAAGGAGCAATCTTAACATAAATTTTACCAATTCCAACATTGACAGTAAGTGCTTGAGAACCAAAATACGTAAACGGGCCGCTTTCGAACATCATATTCTCTTTTCCAACTGTAACTTCAACTCGACCTTCTAAGATTAAGACGAAGTAGTCGACCGCTTTTCCTTGTTGATAAATTACCGCTACGGGATCATTTCTTGCTTTTTCGCGTGATTTCACTTTGATGTGATAAATAATATCTTGTTTAAGTAAACGACGCAAAATAGTTTCCGATATTGTATCGGGCTTAAAAGCATCTACAGCTGTGGATCATATATTACACTCAGATACATTTTAACAGCACTAAAATAATGTTTTATATAAATTTCATATTTTCTTAAATCAAAACACTTCTTCCTACTTGTAGACAAATACTGAAACATAGCCAATGTTAATTGAGGCGATATATGAATTCGTTGATTTTCTTTCTTCTCTGCAAACACGGTAAAATCTTGTATTTTATGTCTAGCTTGTCTTCTGCGCTTAGATTTATTATCCGCTGCAAGAAAACATTATTAATGTTAATTGCATTCATGCATATATAATATAGCGCATTTTTCATACAGGTGACTTACTAAAGACGTCAGTTTCATCCATGATCTCAGCTTGAATTAATTCTTCTATAACATCTTCTAATGTAACCAATCCTATTACTTCATAAAAAGGATCGCCTTCGCCTTCGTTATTAACCCTTTGAACAAATGCCATGTGTCCTTTATGACCTAAAATAAGTGTAGGTTAGATATATTTTTACTTTTACAAGAGATTCATTAAACGATCCAATGACATAGATTAGTTTGAAAGATATAAACCTTCTTTAAATTGTTTAAACATAATGTCTAGCGTAACATCTTCAAAAATGAAGTTACATGGATTTTGATAAAATTGACATAAAGTTTTTAGTGGCATATTATCATCTGGATCAACAAATGCGAGATCTTTAATATAAAGCATTGTAACAATATTTGTTCTTGCACCTTCATATACTGGTATACGAGAAAAACCTAAAAAGTAACAATAATAAATGATGTAAACTGTACATGTATATGTATTATTATTTGTAAAAACAATATTCTATATTCTATTGATAAACATATAAGTAATGCAAAATTTAAACCTGATTTCATAATTTCTGATACTGTCTCAAAATCTAAAATGGCATTATAATCCAACATATATACATCCTCAATTTTTGTCATTACATCCTTAACAGTTTTTTTTCGCAACTCTAATGCCCCAGCAATAATGTTCACTTCATCTTTTTCTAAATCATTATATCCTGTTGTTACCTACAGATAACAATACAGAATAACACACTTATATATTATACGTATAATTCACATATACTGATATGAAATCTTTGATAATGTTATTAGATTACATGAATAACACACTTGATAAAATTAATGGATATTAATTAAATATATTATTTATCTTTATATTAATGCATATATATATAGAAGATAAATTCAACTTAAATTGGCACAGTATAAGAGTGTAAGGTTATCTTATTTAAGTTTCATGATGATAAGTAATCTAACATATACGCTGAACAGTATAAAAACTCCAAACAAACGTCAGTAGATCTATATCTTACCTACATATGATTGAATTTAGATGTTAGTATAATTATCTGTCCTATCCATACGCATTCTGATAAGATCCATACAGGAAAAAATTTGAAAAGGAGTTTTGATAATATATACTTCAAATTGCAAACAGAAAAGATCATATTCAGAATATAGGAAGCTAAAAGAGAAAATTATAACAGTTGCTTCGTTACCCCATACCTTCACAAGTTCCTTTAACCGCTCACGATTATATACATTGCCAATTTCTTCTCCAAGAAGGAAATCTAAAAGTTTGCTGATAGGATAACTCATTGGAAATGTTAATACCATAGTTAATTTGGTAATATAAATAGTTTTTGCTCCAATACACAATCCATGTCTACTGCAAATAGCCTAAAGGTATAAAGTAATTTCCCTAATTATTAAATTATCTCTAAAATTTAAAAGTTATGTTTTTATCCAATGTTTCTATTGAAAATAAAATATATACTCTTGCAAATATACTTACTTGTGGCGAAATTTCACCAAAAATTACAATAGCTAAAGTAGAGCAAATAACAGCAACTAATCCAGAAGTTAAATCATCTAACAAAATAGTAAAGATCGAATTCACCAAAACATTGGAGAATAAAATTGAGCATAACAAATAATTCCCATGATTTCTCACTGGTTGTATTGTTCTTGCATATTGTTTTTCCTTTAATACATGAATTATCGAATGAAATTGTTATAAAATTAAATAATTGAAATAACTCCAAGCAGTAGAAAGTAAGGTACCTTTTCTGTTCCAGTATTACAAAGTATCTTCAACTCAGTTCTGTCCATTGCCATTAATCCCAAATTTAAACCAGAAAATAGAGCAGAAAAAGTAAGACACATGAAAATAATTACAATACTAAGCCAAAGTGGTAAAAATTTTTCATATGTATATATCTGTAAAAATAAATATTTCTAATATATTGATTAATGGTTAATGGTATTTTGTTTTTATTATACTTTATTACTTACAGTTTGCCATGATTCAGTGCCTTGATGTCTAAAGAGTAAAGTGTTTGGATCTGCCTCTCCATATACTGGTTGTTTTACACATATGAAGAAAGGTGAACCAAGAGGTAATACCACATCAATAGTTGCAGTGTTATTTCTTACATTTTGTATCTGTATCAATCATATTTTTAAAAAATTATTTATGGTATAAACATTTTCTAACTCGTAAGATAGAAATGCTTACTAAAAATTCATTGGTTTTAATCTTATCGCAGATACTACCCCTTTTGGCTGGTTCATCAGTAAAAGTAATCAAAGTACCTTCTGTGAAACCAAAACCAAATAATCTTATGACTGCCTTACTGCCAGCAAGTATCTCTGGAATACCATCTTCCCTATAACTAGGATCCTTTGCTGATGTCTCTATTCTCAGACCCTCAATAAACACATCTGTATGAATTTGCCGAGTAAATAGATTTTCGGGGTCATCATTGACAGTAGGTAATAAATTGAAAGTGTCACGTCTTGTACGAAAATATTTTCTGGGAATAAGTGACATAAAACAATAGATTAAATTAATCTTTATTTAAAAAAAGAAAAAGAATTAAGAATTATTAGAATTAACAAGAAGTAATTTTAAGAATTGTTCCAAAGTTTATTTAATAAGAAACGTCTTTGTTAGTCTTTTTAAAAGTAAAATTAATGTTTTAATTAAAAGAATTATAAATTTAACATATCTGATGTATAAGCAAAGTTAAAATTATTAATTAATCTTTAGAATTAATTGACCTTTATGCAAACAATTAATTAAACTTGCTTATATTTGAATGTTTAAATACGAAATTGTGAATAGAATCAGATAAACATGTTCCTTTATGACGTTACATAGTAGCAAAATAATGATGTTTCATATGTACATATAATTATAGCATTATAGGAGAAGTCTCTTGCCGTCGATAATATCGGGATTTCCGCTTTCGTAAAAAATGGTGCCAAGTCATACGATAAATGTCTATTATTTATATGGCAAGAAAATTCTCTTTAATGATGCTCGGATAAAGACAAGTTATCTAATATTTAACTTACTTTGATTGTATTGGAGACCTGATAGTAAAATTGCTTCCAAGATTGGTCCATATTTCACCGAATATGCTGACGATCTTTAGACAGAAATAGATCGTAGTAACCTTAAAATTAGGAACTTTGTCGAACTTATATATCGCACGACTGCCATTCGGTGAGATCCAAATTGCACTTAATTTGTTTTCTGAATCGCAGTTATCAATTGTACGTGACCAGAGTAATGAGACATTATTCTCGAGGCCGGTGCCAAGAATTTCAATCAAGAAACCTGAACTAGAAGACACGTTCTCTCCCGTAAAAGATTTTTTCCTGATTAAGACATCCACTGACTTGACACTTAAATTATCAGATACTTTCACTTTTGTAAATGTATTAACGGTTACTAAATTGGATGTCACAAAAACAAGTAATAAAAGAGCTGCCGGTGTGCTTGAGCAGACAACATGTTGCGCCATCATGCGACAAGTGCACCGTGACAACTTCATACAGTCCTCAGTTAGTACTGCATTTATAATATCGTATCGTCACAATACGCTTGCGTATTATCACAGATCAACCATAGTATAGATTTTACATCTTATAGAATTTAACCGTTTATGATTCGCGGTATTTTTGAACTTTCATTTTGGTTATTTTCGTCAGTTACTGTTGCCAAGTTAATATCCGCTATTTCAATATTTTAGCGGCAAGCTAACACAATAACATATTTATTAAATATATGTATATATTATAAATATATGTATATACTATATGATATATTATATTATATCACATACGAAATATAATATCTCGAGTTATACTCGACGATTCATTCATTCACATATAGAACCTTAAAGGGTTAATATTATACCAACTGATATACCATTTTTGAAAGAAGTTAAAAGTTTTATTTTCTCCTATTTTTAGTGTTTGCCAATTTACAAAGATGACGAGATGCTAACGCTAAAAAGATGTGGTTTATTCTGCAGAAAAGATTACAAATGGAAAGTCTGTGTCGCGCGGTTAGGGTTTGCTTTTTTGACTGACGAGGTTTGGAGGCGCTTTTGTAGTTCGTGACGTGGCGCCACTCATGGGTTGATTGTGAAGTTGGTCGAGGGGGCGCCACATAATCTTTCTATTTTGGCGGGAAATAAGTTACGTTTGCATATATGTTTTGTTAATGTGTGAAATGTTTGATAATAGACCCTAATGGTTTTGAGAAAGTTTCATAAATTTTGACGCTAATATAAAGTTACTCTGTTGTTAAATTTTATTCCGTTTTTGCTGTACATAATGCCGACCGGTTAGTATTCTTTGATAAATTAATATCTTGAAATGTCATTTATGAAATCAAAGAGGTTATTTTGAAACGTTGGGTTAAAATTACACTAATAATTTCTTTTAAATCTTTTAGCAACGTCTACATTTGTACAAGAGATAGTTAACGTTATTAAGAGATTCAAGTTCGAGGAATTAGAATTATCAGTAACGCCAGTTTTTCCAGAAATATCCTGGAATAATATAAGATCCGAATTAATTAAACATCACAAAAATTTTACATCACACAATGTAGCAGAAGTTATTAAAATGGTTGTCATCGTAAGTTTTATGTACAGGCATACAATCTTATTAATTTTATTTACTGTTATATATTGCGTTTCTTTTATTTTTTATTATAGGAAGAAAAAGTTACGGAGAAAATTTTAAGAGATCGTTTATCAACACTACGATTAGTTGGTAAGACACACAAAATTCAATCATAGACTTTATTTATTTTATAGACTGATGTAATGAAATTTTTATATTTCAGATATAAGCTGGCATAGTAATAAAAGAATGTGGTATGGCTATATATTAATAGGATCTGATAAAACTGTAAATTATTTCATAAACAGAGAAATTCAAAATAATATGCAAGATAATTTTGATTCATTAAATATGAAAATTAATGTAAAGATATATACACATAATGATATTACATATATGTCTTTAACAGCAACGAAATATAAAAATAAAAAAGGAAAAGAAAATCGACGTGCAATTCCACACGTTTTTGCTTTGTTTATGGGCCAAAAATATTTTTTTTCTACCAAAAAAACTATTTCATCTGATATTTTAAATACTGTAGTAAGAAGTTTGGGTTATAAAAACTCTAAAAGATTTAAATTGATGGGTAGAGATCTTAAATCTTTGAGCAAATTATGTTGGAAGAGGAAAGAAGGAACAATGAATTCTGAAAATATTAATAAAACTGTGGTATATGAAGATGGTGTTCTTGATAGAAAGTAACATATCTTTCAAAAATTTATATGTAAAATGAAACTTAAAAGTTCTAAAGAAAAGTAATATCACATATCATATATATCCTATAGGAAGACGGGTATAGACTTTACTCAACAAAAGCAGCGGGTAAAGTATGCAGAAAAATGTTTTGGTGATAATCCTCCTACCTTAGAAGTACTTGTTGTAAATGGGCCTAGTATGCCTCTGTCACATGAAGGTGTATCAAAAGAATTACCAAATGAAAACATGCAAATAGCGTGAGTCCTTTTTAAATGAAATCATATGATTTAATATTTTATAGTTTTAACAAAATTCTATTTTTTTACGTATTTAAATGTATTTCAGATGGGAATTTCGCAGTCGCAACATTGTTGCATGTTTAACAAAGTTAATAGAACGACGTGTATTGGTTACACCAGTGCCTCATTACATATCAAATTTAATGACATTAGGAAGAAATGTATTAACACTTAAGAAGGATTAATAATTAATATTTAAATGTCATATTATACTGGTATGGAACTAATGCGAGCAAAGCTTGCCTATTACTTCAATGATCTTGTAATTATTCAAATTCTAAGAGACGAATTAGTAAAAACGTATTACCATGATATATAAAGACATAATTTATTTATTTTTTTTAATGTTTTTGTTATTGATTTTGACAAATTTTTTAATATTTTTAAATAATTTTTACGTATAAAAAAATGTAATTTTCATATGTCTAAAAATAAAGAAACATAGTACATTTTTCATTTTCTTTTTCAAACGTTTTATATTAGTCTCATTAATTAACAAGGTTAAAAGAAAGCTTATGATGTAGGATACGTGAAAAGTGAGATGTTATTTAAAGTACAATAAAAGTATATTAAAAGATTCTATAAATTAATATACTAGTTATATTAATTTACTATTATATTAATATACCGGTTATATTTACATTTATATATGTATATGTATGTACATATATATTACAATATATATCAGGATAGAATATTTTCACATACATACAATTTATTTGATACTTACAATACAATAAAACGGCTTATAAATAAAAAGCTTTTATAGATAAATATAATGTGTCTTTTAATTATGTAAGTAATATCGAAGTTAAATATTAAATATTAAATATTTTATTTTTAAATGTATTATGGAGAATTAGTATATAGAAATACTGTCTACTAATTGATTTCTTGTAACGAAATGTGTTGTTTTATTTGTAAATATGTTTAGAAAGAGGTAAAACCAGATAAAGAACTATATCTGTAAATAGTTCCGATTTTATATTTAATGTTTATACGTAATTACTAATATTATGAGCTAGTAAAATAACATTATCTATATAAATGCAAGTAAATTGAAGTGTATATATATTATGATATATATGAATATTAAAAAACTTATTTATATGCATGTATATTATAAAAATTCGTATTTTCAGCTGGAAATGTCGTCATCGTCTATTTCATCTTCTGATGTTAAATCTGGATCATTAACTTGTGATAAGCACTTATTACAATAGCAATGAAATAAATATAAAGAGCTTAAGGCTTTCTGTCGAGAATGTCTACTTCTTTCTAGACAACATTCATCAAGGTAACTTATGCATATTTCTTCTTCAGGATGAATATCACGTATAGCTTTTAGAACCAATACATTGTTTGAATAAGGAAATTCCACAACTGCGTTTGGTACACAACTATGATTTATTGATGATTGAAAGATATAAAGACCAGAACCTTCATTGTTTAAAAAAAAAGCTACCGCTAAAAAAGATAACATTAATGATAAAATAAAATTTATACTTGTACAATTTATGTAACAAACATAAATTCATATTAAAATCAGAAAAATTTACCTTCTTCCATATCATCATAAATTCGATCTATTAATTTATCAACTTGGATTCTTTCATCTCTTGGTAATTCCAAAGCAGATACATTTTTAACCCAACGACTAAATGCACTAGTTCCAATTCCCTGACCATTTGTACCTACTAAAGCTAATAGACTTTTAAAACCTTCTGGTGTAAACCACTGTAAATTAAAATTTCAACAATTTATTTTATAATATAGCATATTTTGAATTATATTTACGCTACATACATGTTCTGTAAATTCTGTATTTACGGCTTTATGCATCATTTGTCTGAGCACTTCAATTTGTCCAATAAACTTTTCTCCTAGTAATTTATGTGCAATTTCATGCGTATCATTAACTGTACGATGACAAAATTGTGAGAAAGTTGAAAGCATTTCTTCTTTATTATCAGCTTGATTAACAAGAGCTACCATTTTAATTAATAACATCGCTGTTGCTGATTCTGGTGGGTAATGCATTTGCTTCCATGTTTCATTTAATTGCACCAAGGGATGAGACTCATCCTTTTCTCTTGATTGTAAACATATTGTACTATGATATCTAAAATTTTTACATTTCATACAGTTATATATAATGTTCTTAATGTTAATATTAAATTTATGGAATTGTAATATTACCTTAAAAAAGCATCATTCTGGCATTCAATACTACAATATTTTGTGCCACATTCAGGACATTCTGTAATCAAATCTTTTTTTGTTTCGCAGCATTCTGGATAAGGTAAAATAATTGCTGAGTTTCCAGTCAATCTACGTACATTTTCTTCAGCAGTTTCTAAAGGTTTTAAACAATTGTCACAAGCTAAGTATCCATAGTCTAAGTTCCATGAGAATTGACAACAAATTATAGGTTTTTCTTCTAGAATTGTATCTCCATATTTAAATGAACGTACAGCAAAAAGGCCCTTGCCCTGTAAAACATTTATAATTATTTTACTTTTAATAATAATCAATATTTAGATTCCTATATTAATAAATGTAAGGAAAGTTTCGTATATCTTTCTCTTTTAAGTTAATAATTAGAAACGCATAAATTTTTATATAAAATAATGATTAATTACATGTGTACTGTGTTATACCTTTTCATTGTTAATTAATCTGATCTGAAAGTCATTGGAATCCATTGTAACTTGATCCCTGACAAAAAAATCACATTAATTTCTAACCTTTAAATGCACGTCTGTAATTGTTACAATGACACTACTATAGTCAAATTGTAATTACAGAAACTCTGAACAGTTATTTATAATAGTAAAGAATATTATACATTGAGGTGATTCTGGGTTGATTGTATTTTTGTTTAAAATCTGAAACTGAAATTTCTTTGTTATTCATTTAAACGATTATTATAAAATTCAACATGAAATTGTTACTGACTTACATAGTACTTATAACACTTCCGTAAAGGCAAGCTTCGGATCATTTTGCACATAAGTTACTTGTTCAGAATCGTTTGAGATTTGCTTGGTAAAGTAGGTTTAAAAGAAGTTGGACTCATTTTATTGGATCACAAAATATAATGAACGGAGCGATGGCCATGGTAAGTTAATTACTTCTGCAATTATTATTTCTGCAAGAAATATTGAATTGATAGAAGTAACAAATTTTTCGGATCATAATGGCGGTTGTAAAATGCTTGTAATCTACATACTTATGATTAATACTTTCGAAATATTCAATAAAATCTATGATAGTAACATATTTCTACAATATTTTACTAACATCCTGTTAATAATAATTCAATATATAATGAATACAATTATTAACTTTTTTTCTTTTTAGTTTTATTTTTAAGTTATATTGTTTTAACATAAATTCATTAAAGATATGTTTATATTTTTTCTTGAATTCCTTTTCACATAATTGTAAAATATGTTTTCTTTTACTATAATGACTATAATGGATGTTATTATATTTAAAATCATATTATTATGTTTATATTATTAGAACTAATAAAAATGATATTATAGTAGTTTAATAAATAAGCAACGTAAAAACTTTCTTTTATTAGTAATCACTAATTTTTATCGTAAAATCTAATAGATGTTTTATATGTTCTTAGGCACCAACATCCCAGAATAATGTGGAACCTCCAAACAAGAAACCTAGAGTTGAAGGTACATTGCTAATATTCCCAAATAAATGTATATCTCTAATGTACACTAATAAACTATACAATTAAGCGTACAACTGGAAAAGACGGTGAACACAGAAGCAACAGCAAGCATAATATATTTCTAAGCAAAGGAAATGATGAAGAAAAACATATATTATTTATTTAGGACAATCAGGTGCTAGCTTTCTATTAAACTGCTGGCAAGCTATAAGTGTTGAGTGGTCTATTGCAGTTTCAGAATATATTTTGGTAGGCTAGGGTGATAGGTGATCGTTGGCCCTCAATAAAACTAATGTATGGTTGTCCTTCTGTTCTGAGATGTTACAGCGGAGAGACAGTACAGAATCTGTGGCCTACGACTGAGCTGTGATCATGAGCGTGCGCCAAACAAAGAAAGAGAACGCTACATTCGTTGAACAGAACAAATCAGAGTTTTGCAAACTCCCACTGACACAGCATCTATTGTCGAGTACCAAATATGATGCGTATGTTAGATAGGTCAGCATTTTAGGGTAATTTTCTTTCATCCTAATTATAAGCTTCTAATTTATTTTATTAAAGTAAAAATAATTGTTTGAATATATTTTATTTGAAACATTGATGTACTAAATTTTGTTTTATTTCATATCTTCCTTTTTACTTCAATGTCCTTTTTTGCTATAATGTAAATAATTTCTTTGATCCCCAATTTAATTTTTAGGTGCAAAAAAATAAGGCAGAAGCTTATAAATAGGAGATGCAATGGCGATGTATGTCTTTTAAGATTTTCTTAATCACATTTATATTATTACATAAAGATGAGGTAATTTGTTCGTTTATTAAAGAAGAGACATATACCTGTTATAAACAAAAAGAATGTTATTAGAACAGGGTGCACATCACAAGCAAAGTATATTTTTACGAAGGTCGATCGCGATAAATTTTTTTTTATTAATTAGGATCGCCATTGCTATACAGAACATGTTAGGGTTAATTACGTGATAGGTTGGAGAAGGCAAACTGTAAGAAAATGGCGCAGAAAATGCACTGAGAGTATTCTCCTTTGCTTTGTGCTTACAGATTTGTGCGTCGCCTCAATCTCGGATAGTATGCGCACAACCATCATTGCTCAGCCCAGAACACGGTTAGCTGTTAATCAAATGATTGAACAAAGCTAATAGTATTAATTCGTGAAACTGCAAAAGTCATAAAAGAGAAAAAGAAACGTTTCAACGTGTTCTGATTTCTGTTTCAGAGACTAGCAGACCAAATTGGTTATGATCATACGAAACCTAATCTAGTTATTGGTAGTCTTTTTTTGGGGCTGATAGTGTAAACAGTAATGAAATTTAAATGTGAAAACTCTGTTAATTGAATAATTGCAATGATTTCTCTTCAATTTTGATATTGTTTTTAGCATACTCTTGACGTTATTTCTCTTCTAAAATATAAAATAACTTTTATTTTAATGGCGTGAAAAAAAAGAAGGAAATGTATTTCTATTTCAAAATACATTTGTATGAGTATATACATGTAATTGTGTACATACATTACTTTATATACAAGAATAACGTTACTGTTCTTGATTGTTTTAATTTCTTTGAACTTACAGTTTGGAGGACGATTCTACCGCAGTGGGAATTGCTGTACGACATCGTTACTTTTTCCGTCTCTTTTTAAGTCATTTCTTTCACTTTTTATCCATTTTAAAGACTTTATAGAGATATATAAAACTTCAGAAAATTATACAGTATACTTGTATACCAAATATTAAATATATTGAATTGAATATTAGTTACATGTATAATTCAAATTCTGTTTAATTTTAATGAATAAGAAAACTAAAAATTAAGAAATCGAATCAAATGAATTGTTCTGGTACCTCTATCATCGCAAAAAAAAGTAAAAAAGAGTCAAAGCAAATATTAGACAACAGTTTTTAAAAAGTTCGTATGTGTGTGTGATGGTGGAAGTACTGAATGTAATATGTATTATATTTCATCTTTGTCTAATGCCAACTTTCTTCGTAGGGAATGCATCAGAGTTCTTGCCCGGCCCTATATATGATCTCAATCAAATAAAACAAGTTGTTGCTGGTATGTAGTATTACAATATTATTTCATTTTTTAGAAAAAGTATAAGCTATTAAAGCAATTTAAATAAAACATTTAAGATTTACATATGATGTTTATAAAGAAATTGTGACAATTAAAATTTGTTGCTCCAATTAAAGTCATATTGAGAGTCAATAATAATTTAGTGAACAAATAGCTGATAAGATCTGAAAGAACATTATTGTTTTAAAACATGTATTAATGAAGCATGTCTTATTTTACATATAATATTTATTTTGTTACAGGACCTGGAGCTAAATATCTTACATTACCTGGCATTCTAGGTGCGGGTCTTCCAAAAATTACATCTGAACAACAGGATACAGTAAATAGAGCAAAAAAGTATGCAATGGAACAAAGCATCAAAATGGTTTTAATGAAGCAGACTCTCGCGCATCAACAGCAGGTAATTTTTTAACATGATGCTAACAAACTTTACTCGCCTAACATACATTTTACATTCCATTGTACATTCATAGATTTCTATATTGAAAAAATATCTATCTATTCTTTTATTACTATTGATTTGTTTGAATAAGAATGATCAGTAATGTGTTAAAAATTCCATTCATATCAACGGAATTAATAAAACAATTAACATTGGTAACTAGCGGTTGGTTGGTAACTAGCGGTACAAGCGGAAAGGGGGTGATTCTACGCGAAAAAAGAAATCGAAAATATAGAATAAAAATTTTTCGTTTGAGGCTTTGGTTTCGAGAAAATCGACTTTGAATTTTCGCTCGGTACGCGTGCGGTACGTTATAACGGATCTCATTGTAGATCGTTGTCTCGATGAAAAAATTAAAAAAAAAAAAAAATGTTCTATATTTTCAACTTCCTTTTTCGCGTAAAATCACCCCCTTTCCGCTTGTACCACCAGTTACCAATCACCCTGTATATAATCAACAATGGAAATGGTATATAGTAAATCAATCTTCTATTAAATTTGTAATATTTAATTGAATGTTGATTGTTTATACTTCATAGGAATGAACAATGGAATTAATGTATACATTTATGAAATGATACATTAAAATTATGGGGTTCTTTTTTGTCTCAAAAAATGCTATTTATTAAAAGATGGATTTACATTTCTTCCTCTATTTAGCTCTTTGCCAGTTATATAACAAAAATTGAGAGAAATATGTCTATAGCGTTTTAAGCTGATGTTTGTCCTTACAATTTAGCTCGCCCCGCCGAGTAATCTTTAATTTGATCCTAAATATATTAACCTGTGTTCGTTATGACGAGCGAGTAAAGTCAAAAAATATAACAGAAATTAAAAACGAACACTGGAACCTAACTCTGATCGGTTGATTTTTTCTCCCCGCAGAAGAATAAGTTGGTCCTGCGGCAGCAAGTTTTATTGCTAATGTGCAGGTTAGTGTCAACCAAGTCAAGACAGAAACGATACGAAACCGCCTTACGATCAAACACTCCTAAACGTTTTCCTGAGTTACTACTGTAAGCGAAGGTTAGATATCTTGAGAATAGTAGTCGGCGGGAGCAGAGCTGTACCAGCGCGAAGGAGGACAAGTTTTTGTGCATGAATCTCTGGATGATTTGAGAAAAATAATCAATATAAACTTTCGAGCTCAACTATTCTTTCTCTCTTTGCTGCAAAGATACTGTACTTATATTTAGAATACAATGTTAAAAATTTGAATTATTTTTTGACTTGACTTTGTTGAAGATACTACATTTAGATTATTATTCAATGAGTTTATTATGAAAATACTTGCAGTTCACATGTTGCTTTGATCTGTAGTTTTGAATGTAGTATCAAGATTTTAACTTTGATTAATTCCTTAATCAAAGGTTAAGGTAAGAGTAGTTGAGTAACGAAGGTGGAATGGTAAAAGAGCTTGGGGGATTTTTGAGATGAATGAGACATGGTGTATGTAAGGGGGAGGGATATCAATAGAAGGCCTATGGTCCTTTGTGTTACAGCAAATGGCTAGTCAACGGAATCAGGTGCAGAGACAGCAGGCTCTCGCCCTCATGTGCAGGTTTGTTTGTTCTTTGTCTTAGCCCTCCAAATTTCGTCTTCGATACTCGCCGTTTTAAATAGAAAATACATTCTAAATTTAATTGTGTATAGGCTAAAAGCTTCCATTCGTCATTCAGATTAGATTTTGATAAATTTTAATTATTTAGAATAAAATTATACATACGTTCTTTCTACTGTTAAGAATTAAATTTAAATCATTTGAGTACAGTATTATGAACTTCATTTGTAATTCTTTCAATTATATATATATACTGTCCCAAATTGGAAATTCAAGTTTTTCAATAAATTTCTGTTTAGTAAAATCATGTTATAGTCACTTATAACGGATATATTTTTATATGATATATTTATATTTCAAGTATTGTCGAAGTATTGTGCTTTATTTAGTATATATATATATTTAGATTGGCAATATTTTTTTAAATAACATTTCCTTTACACATTTTTTTTTAGAAGAACATTCAAAAATTTGTTCTGCTTTTTTTTTCCGTTTTATTTGATTATGATAGGATACGATTGTGAGTATCTTAATGAATTAGGATATAATTGAACAGTAATGTCTCGGTTTAATATAACGAAGGGCGACTATCACCTAAAATAAAATTCCTATATGACAGGGTATATGTGGGCAGCATCAGTTTTGAATTAAAAGAGGACACGATTAGGCAAGCTTTCTTGCCTTTTGGTCCTATAAAATCAATCAACATGTCTTGGGATCCAGTTACGCAGAAGCACAAAGGATTCGCATTCGTCGAATACGAGATACCTGAAGCAGCACAACTTGCTTTGGAACAAATGAATGGTGTCATGATTGGTGGACGTAACATCAAGGTAGCAGGACGTACCTATATAACGAATTTCCTGTCCCCCAGCAATCCTATCATCCCGCCGGAGGTCGGCAAATTTTTATTTAGCCTTATCCAATTTGAAATTCCTTTTGATTGAATTGCATTATATTTAGAAAATGTACTTCGGTCAAAGAAATCTTGTTAAACTCTTTAACGATTCCATTAGATTCTTACCGTAGATTTTAAAATCTCTTATGATACTACTTTTTGATATTTTTACGAACATAACAATGAGTTCTAGCATTATTTTAGACAAATATGAGTTTTGGTAGGAAAGATTTATTTGTATAAAAATTAATACTTTTTATTAGTAAAATTATTATTAACACGTCAAAAGTTGTGTTCGAATAAAGAATATAGTTCCTGGACCTAATCCTATTTTTATACTTCTCTTTTTGTAATTAAAATATTAATATTTGACAGATTCGTTACAAATACTTTTCTTTTAATAGTCGAAAGTATTAGTTATGAATTTTTATTTTTCTTCAGGTTGTGGGGCGTCCGTCGAATATGCCCCAAGCCCAGTCCGTTATTGATGAAATTACAGAAGAAAGTAAACACTATAATCGAATTTATATTGCGTCAATCCATCAAGATTTAACCGAGGATGATATTAAATCCGTGTTTGAAGCGTTTGGACCGATTACATATTGTAAATTGGCACAAGGCAGCTCGCCCCATCGACATAAAGGTTACGGTTTTATTGAATACGAAACAATGCAGGCCGCGTTAGAAGCTATCGCATCAATGAATTTATTTGACTTGGGTGGGCAATACTTGCGAGTAGGCAGAGCTATTACTCCACCAAATGCTCTTATGGGTCCGCCAAGTGGAACTAGTATGATGCCTACCGCTGCTGCGGTTGCAGCTGCAGCTGCAACTGCAAAAATTCAAGCAATGGATGCTGTAGCTAGTAATGCAGTTGCTCTTGGTTTGACCAAGCTTGGAGCAGCTGCCCCGCCGATTTTGAATCAAGGTATGAGTTAATAGTGATTGAGGAAAGTTTAGAATCTGAAATTTTCTTTGAAGTCATTATGAACATGAATTTTATACACAGCTTTGCCTGGTATAGTAAGACCCACTATTGCCCCAGCGACAATGATGGCACCGCCAACTATAGCAACGGTAGCACCTGTTATACCTCCACCTGGTATAGCTATACCGCAAACTTTAACTCGGCCTCCTGCGATAATTCAACCGATACCTGGACAGCCAGTTGTTATACCTCCTCCAGCTGTTGTAGCACCTACAATAGTAGGAACTCCAGTTGTAAGATTTTCATTTATTATTCTATTCATACGTTGAAAAGTTACAATATTTAAATTATTTGAAATGTGGCTAGATACCTGTTACAACTACGACGAATTCCGATATTATGAGACGGGCACAAGAACAAGCAGCTCATCAAAAACAACAGGAAGAATTACAGAAGAAATTGTTAGAGGAGACAGAACCCCAAACATTACAGCAACAAGAAAATATGTCGATCAAAGGACAAAGTGCGCGTCATCTTGTTATGCAGAAACTTATGCGCAAAGTTGAATCCCGTGTTGTTATTTTACGAAACATGGTAGCCCCAGAAGATGTAGATGAAAGTTTACAAGAAGAAATTCAAGATGAATGTTCTAAATTTGGAGTTGTAGAAAGAGTTATTATTTATAATGAACGACAATCGGAAGATGACGAAGACGCAGAAGTTATCGTAAAAATATTTGTTGAATTTTCTCAAATGAGTGGTAAGCTTATAACGAATTATTGTTTTCTAATTAATTAAGTGTGAATTTTAATTTGATATTGATATTAAATAATCATTTTAGAAGCGGAACGTGCAAGGGATTCTTTGAATGGTCGTTATTTCGGTGGACGTTTAGTGAAGGGAGAATTATATGATCAAGCTTTATTTGATAATAGTGACTTTTCTGGTTGATTATAAGATACTTATTATCTGTTGAATTCGTCAGTTTCTTTGGAACAAAAGAAAAGTTATACTATCGTTGAGTGATATTCCGTGCGTCTAATCGAAAGTACATAATACATCTTTTGAAGTTTCAACACTTATAGTCTATCTTCTGACTAAGAAGTCTAGCTTTTAATTTTTATCTACATTTTTGTAGACTTTAAATTAATAGATCAGTCAAAACTGTTATCATTACTTAGTAAGATAATAGTTTTAAAAAATCGTTTTAACACTTAGCCAACCGCGCGCGTCACAGCGAGCTATACGTTTTTCACCGCGCTCGAACAAGTTAACCTATACGCTGTCCACCGCGCATGTTTCCAAGGTAATGATTTTATTTAACGATTTCACATATTGTTTATACAAAACATCAAATTAAAAGTATATATTAAAAGTATAAAAAAATATAGGTAACATTAAAAACATTAAAGGTGATTAACTCTTTCGCTACGGGCGGCTTCTCCGCCGCGGCATTCCCGCTGAACGAGTCGCCACGCCAAAACAAGCATAGTAGTAACAGAGAAAGATCATAAACGTGGCCGCGTTTACGTCTCACTGCAAACCGAGCTGCTCTGACGGTGTTTTTCGAAGAAAAAAACTTTCCTCAAAACAGAGTATTTATAACTTCTTAATAATATAATATAATATGATATGATACTAATAGCTTTTAATAATGGTATTGCGTGTAGTATTTTTCGAAACATGGTGTTACACATTGGCCAACATCGCAAATCTGGCACTGGCATCGCGATTCGCTCCACAGTTTCCATCAATCGATTATAATCGAAAACACACTTTGGTTTTTTTAATCATTTTCTGCGTGCGATAATGACGTTTCGAAACTTTTCATTGTGGAAAGAGGACAACATATACATTGCCCTCTCGTCACACCGCTTTATTGTTAATAAAAGGCTTGAGGATGTACAATACTCGTCGTATGTATAATACGCGGCATCTTACGCAGAGTGACTATAGTCGCCCGTAGTATGTCAGTGGTATCTTACGCAGAGCGATTGTAGTCGCCCGTAGTATATCAGTGGCATTTTACGGAGAGCGACTGTAGTCACCCGTAATAGCGAAAGGGTTAAACATAAATAACACAACTTGAACGTGAAATTAAAAATTCATGATGCATTTTAATATTTTTTTACAATGTGGTATCGTTCGATTATAGCTTTATGTAGTCATAACGGATATTGTAACTTTTTAATTAATTTTAATATCACTAAATTGGTGTATTTTATTATATACTGTATTTTATAAAAGCAGAAAAAGTGGCGCAATCAATTGGGAACAATTTCAGGTGAACAATAACTGATAATAACAAAAAAAAAAGAAGAGAACGCGTTGCAAAAGTCAAAAGGAGAGATCTTCCCGTTCGGTCACGCAGAACTCCCTATTCGGTTGGCTAAATGTCAAAGTATAAGTTGGAAATAACTATTGAATAGTTTTGCTCAATGGAAGATTTGCAATTGGATCACTATTACTTCTGTATAAAACGGATATTTTATTTAAATTCAGTAGCAGACTAATTTTTGTTCAGAGAGGGTTAATTTACAGAAGAATATAAGTACATATGCAGAAAAATTGGGTATTAATAAATTGTTTTATTCATAGACTACAAACAAATGATATACACATATAAATTATATGTCGTACTACAAGTATATGTTATAATAAAGTTTGTACATATTTACTAGATATTTCATTAATTTTAACATCCTAAAAGCGTATATATAATTAAATTAAATCTCAGATATTTTATTTATGTCTATTTATCTTTTTTGTGCTTTTGTTCATCATATTTTATCTTATAATCTTGACCATAATTTTTATACTCCTCATAAATTGGAAATGGTATACGTTCTCCTTCGTTAATTTGCTTTTGCTTTTGTAATCCATTACTTACATGTTTTGCTTCTAGTTCTGCAGCATTTCGTTTTTTGATCATTTGTAATTGATAATTTTGTCTTATTTCTTCTTCTGACGGTGGATCTTTTCGACGATATCTTAACCATGACTCCCATTCTATTGGTAATTCTTGCATGTTATCATCTTCATTTACAGGTACAAAATATCGAGTTGAGTTCTTTCTCCTTGTTCTTGGGTTTTCAATTTCGTAATATTTTGTACCATAATAATCTTCGCCAATTAGCTTATGTTGGGTTGGTTTAAATGATGCAATAAAATTTTTTAAAATATTTCGAAACAAACCTCTTTCTTTTCCAGACATTTGAACTTCACTTTACACACTATAAAAATTAAAGTTGTTAAAACGTAATTTAATGAAAATGATGATATTTATATCATACATTTTTAATATCTTTATTTATTAAATAAGTACAAGTAATGCTTTAATTTAGCTTTCATTAAGCAGCAGTTAAGGAACATATATAATAGTTATTTACAACATTTATATACACAAACAGTTTTTTAGTATGAAGAACTACATGGAAACAAAGAGTACCTTCCACAGGGTATGTAGAGATATTTATTCGGATAAATACAAACAAGTATTTAATTAAATTAAACAATGGAAAAAGATTACATCGATTATTGCAACGGTTTGTTGCGCATACGCACAGCGTACAGTGAAAACATGACCAAGCTGAAAATATAAACTGGTATTTCTGTGAGTTATGTTGGTAATCTTGAGTCCGAAAATTTCATGGACATAGAAATTGTCCATGAAAAATTTACATACTGTATTATTTATTTCTAATCTAGTACTAATTTGTAAACGAAGTTTTCTCCTTGACAATGATAATATTTAGAATTATTAATTTTTTAATTTTATATCATATTTTAACTTTATGCATTTAGGAATTAAGCTTTTAAAGTGAAGAAAACATTTTACTTACATATTAATAAACATACATGTTAATAAAAGAAAGATTCTTATTTCTATTTCGTACCTATCTGGTTTTCTAAAACTTTCTTTTCTTGTATTCTAACAAATTTTATGAATATAAAATAATTATCTTTTAATATGAAAGATAACACAACTGGTAAATACTATTTATAGAAAGAATTTTATCTCTAAATACGTTGTAAATGAAGCATTATAATATAATAGTACTATGGTTAAGCATAATATTAATTTGATGACATTTTGTGCTAAAACAAACTTGTTTCACAACATTTAATAAGATTATATATTTAGAAGGCTTCCGTAACTACAGTGACATATCGTAAAATCAATTCTATAACTTAATATAACAAATGCTTAATTTTCATATGTGCAGAGCTACTCAGTATGCGAGGCTATTATAAAAATTGAATTATCGTAAAAAGGAAACGAAATTTTTATGCTAGAATCATAGAATATATAATTTTTTTGATGCTCATAATCTCTTAAGTAAAGCGCAGATTTTATTATTACTGTTTTATTACAGCTGATTTGGAAATATAGCTACAAAAAATATTTGCACATCATTGTATTTATAATAATATTTACATACTACTTAATTGCGTCTAATTATATTAAATGTTGTAACGTTTAATAATACTTTCATAGAACTACAAAAATTTAATACTATGGAAACGAAATGTAGGAAATAATGCTATGTACAAATGCTTTTTGTAGTCACTATATATACATTGACTGTCATAAGAGATATTTTGCGAAATGGTTGCATAGTCTGTTAAAAATGCATTTAAGATGCATTCGTAAGTTAGAGAACCTCTTACAGAATACAGGCACACTTGCCGATTGATTACGTCACTTCCAGGCGTGGTACAGTAGAATGTGTGATGTGCGTGTGTTACTGAAAATGGCCGTACGTGCGGGTCCGTCTAGTTTACTGATTTCACGCACGATAGTTTTCACATTCTTTCAAATATTTGGATTTTGAACGGTGGATTTCTTGATGATACGTGCAGTCAGTGTGAACAGTGGAATCTGAAGATTTTCAGTGGATCATCGGTGATATTAGTCGAGACGAAGTGTGCCTATTTCGTGGTGGATCATTAAAAGAGAAGGTGAGCAGAGGATGTGTCTACAGATTTTTTTTTAAAAATCATACTTTTCAAGAAAAAAAATCCAAGAAATTCTTTATATCATTATCATATTAATGATGTATTTGTGTCACTGCCTCGTATGACTAAGATTAAAACGTTCTTTTGCGATTTCTCAAACCTTGAATCGAGAGAAATACGTCGACTTTACCAAGCTAACAAACAGCATAGATGACGGGAAATTTTGTCGTTGTATTCAAAATACGTAGATACATTGTTTTTTATTATAATTTTCATCTGAAATATTTAGACGATTCTGATGTAGTTTTATTTTCACAAATTTCATCTTTGATAGATTTCTAACACGTACAAGACGGAGAAAGTGTATTTACAAAACGATGGCGGACAGATACGGCTGTAGATTACTTGTCAAAATTGTGTCAACCTCGTGACCGTCAATTTTGACATTCTCAGCACTTTTCTGATCTCGTAGTTTTTTGCTCTTATTGTTCAAAGAATTCCTTTATTTCTTTTCATTTGTAGATCAATCAAATTTGTATTTCTTATTGAATAAATAGATAAAATTGATTATATGTATATCTTAAACCTTTCATAGATAAGTAAATAGATATTAAAAAGTGTAGCTTAATACAATTTATCAGTGAAGCAACCAAGTATACTAATCAGATAGTATGAGCTTCTAAAATTAATAAGAAACTGTTGAATTTGCATTGAATGTTAGCATTTAGTAACATTACTTTTATTATACTTATCTTTTTGATATACATATATACATATATATATATATAATGATTTTATCATAAGCATTTTATTCGTACTTTTCATATTTACTCATTTTACTGAATAAGTAATATTATGTTAATGTTGTTAATATCAGTTATATTCTAATATGTATTTTTCAAATTCTATTCATTTGATTATATCTTTTTCTCCTAAAAATGTATGATATATCCTTATACATATTATATTTATGATTTTTATATGTGTAATGCCTTAGTTCATTTAAATTAAATTTAAGAAGTAATAAATATCATCTGAGTAGTATCACTTCTAGATATATTAGACAATGTTGTAAATATATTATTGTAATTTTTAATGTAATTTTTCTTTATTTCAGCTTGATATATATTAGGAGTAAAAGTAGAAAATTGTTAATGATGGGTTTCATTCTTTACATTTGCATTACTATTTATTTAAACAATATATTTGCTAATTAGTGGATATTGACTATATGGTGTCAAGATGTGGGAGAGATTTGGTACAATCCCCTGGTATGAAACAGGGATATAAGCCAAATATGTGTTTTAGAATGTTTTCTATTCTAGTAGAAAATATGTTAAAATAATGGAAAGTATGCAAAAGTATATATAAGGGAAAGATGATTTTATGCATCTTGTAATGATTTCATATAACAATGAATCATTTAAGAACTACATAAGATTTATGTTTAAGTGTAAAGTACATATTTGTTGCTAATGATAAACATTATTGAGTTTTATGACATAATGTAATAGAAGTGTAATTTTTATACATGCAAATATATTAAATAAGAATCACAAAAATGTCATTCTTATCAAATTTAAAAAAGGCATTCCACTTCGGTGGAAATGACGCGAAGAAAAAGAAATTGTACAATAATATTAAAATGGATTGTAACCCAGAAGAATTCTGGGAAATGATAGGTGAATTAGGAGATGGGGCATTTGGGAAAGTTTATAAGGTAATGCATTGTTTATATAATTTCATAATAAAATGCTTTTAGTTGTAATCGTTCAATTTATTAAACAAGTATTGAATATTTCAGGCACAGCACAGGCAAACTCAACAGCTTGCTGCTGCAAAAATGTGTGCACTGGAAGGAGAAGATGATCTTAGTGATTTTATGATCGAGATAGATATTTTATCAGAGTGTAAACACCCAAATGTTGTTGAATTACATGAAGCATATTTTATTGAGGGTAAACTATGGGTATGTTTACAGTTATATAATACTTATAGGTTTAATATCTATATTTCTCAATTAGCATTTGTATAATTCTATTAATATAAATTTATAGATGTTAATAGAATATTGTGATGGTGGTGCTGTTGATTCTATAATGGTTGAATTGGCAAAAGCTTTAACAGAACCACAAATAGCCTATATATGTCAACATATGACCAAAGGTCTTGCATTTTTACACAAATCTAAAGTTATCCATAGGGATTTAAAGGCAGGAAATGTTTTATTAACAATGGCAGGGGGAGTAAAATTAGGTAATCCTCATACTTTTCAAATTCATATATAATTATTTTATATTCTATATATAAAGAAAAATTAAAAATTACCTTGTCCACAGCTGACTTTGGAGTATCTGCAAAAAACAAGCATACTTTACAGAAACATGACACATTTATTGGAACACCATATTGGATGGCTCCAGAAGTAGTGTTATGTGAGACATTTAGAGATAATCCTTATGATTTTAAAGTGAGTAGCACATTTCTAAATTATACGTTTTTTGTGCTTAGATATTGATATTACGTTTTTATTTTATAATTAACCCTTTGCGGGCTACCGCCGCATATATGTGATCTGCGTAAGCCATCAATTTGGCCGAGGAACTCATATATGCGTTTGGCGAAAACAATTATAAAGCTGAACGACTCATATATGCGTCCCACGTAAACGCATCGCTATGGACGAGAAACTCATATACGCGTTCGGCGAAAACAACTGATAGAACGAAAAGACTCAAATGTGTGTTATTTTATTTATCCTGTGGAGAATCTGTGCATGTACATATGTCTAGAATTTGACATCTATGAATGAAAAACGCGTCTAAGCAGAAATGTGCGCTGGCAATTTTAAATGACTATCGCGGCAGTAGCTCGGCCTCACAGTACGGTTGACTTCGAACCGTCCCGTCCACAAAGGGTTAATATTTTTCATATAAATATATAAATATGTATATATCTTATATACAGGTAGACATTTGGTCACTTGGTATTACTTTAATCGAATTTGCGCAAATGGAACCACCAAACCATGAAATGTCTCCAATGCGCGTTCTTCTTAAAATACAAAAAAGCGATCCACCAAAACTCGATCAACCCGGAAAATGGAGCAAAGATTTTAATGATTTTATTGCAAAAGCCCTTATAAAGGATCCAACGTCGCGACCTACAGCTGATGAGTTGTTGAAACATCCGTTTATAAATCGTAATTTGGATTCAAAACCAATCAGAGATTTATTATTGGAATATAAGGCTGATGTTGTTGAGGAAGAATTGGTTGATGAAGAAACAGAGGTAGTTTTTAATTCTATATTGTTAATTGTCGTTAATTTAATTTAGTTAATTAAGAAGAGATGCAAAAATGAAAATTTTCTATTCGAATAACCTTTGTGTGAAAATAACGCTTTATAACTTTGCGATCTTTTAATTCGTAACAATGTATAGAGCTTTATAAACGGTATTAACATGTATATACGTTGTTACACGCTTTCGTTTTGATAGAAGGCCAAAAAAGCGAAAAAGCACAGAGAACAGTATCAACGGATTGGTAAGCTGCTTTTGAACAAACCACATAGATTGAATTGTTCAAATTTATTAGTCGTTCTTACACGATTAGAAAATGAAAAATATTTATTTGTATTCCGGAAGTTTATAATTGTAATGAAGTATTTTTGTATGCGGTTATGTAAATCTTTAATAAATTCCATCTCAGTTTCATACAACACATAATTACTCTTTGTTATACTTATGCATGATGAACATGCATAATATCTTAGACAGATTCATGCATGTAATATGCGTTGTAAAAGTATGCTTCTCTTTAATTTGCCAAATTAATACGGTAATTTTATTCTCATAAAAATTATAAATATGTATTTGAATTATTATTACATTTATTATTTGTTACATATGGTACTATTTGACATCATAATTTTAAAAATTTTATTAAACTTTTCATTTTGTTTTTCTTTGTAACATTTAATCTAATGACATCCTAATAAATATGGTATTGTAATTTGGATAATTTGGCTGTGCATGCGGCTCTCCTGGGCCTCGCCAGCCCCATCATCCCTGCGTTTGTCAGGTCAGTAGCTTATGCAATAAGTGTTGTGTAACTTGATTTCAATGTATTTTTTGTACATATTATTACAGTTCTTCGCTATTTTTATTGTTTTTACAACTGCAGTGCATAAGCTATTTTTATATGAAATTTATTCATATTAGACCATAATGTTTGTTATAATTAATATTATGGCAATTTTTATAAAAATATATTAATTATGTATTTTTATTCTCACTATTTTTTTTTTTCATATTCATGTAAAGTAATAATTCTTCTTATCTTTTTTGGTATTTTAATAATTCCTCCATTTTGCATACTTTATTATTCTTAGAAGTTACATTTCGTATTTTGTATCAGTTTGGATATTCTTAATTATGAATTGTATCGTGTGTATGAATTATGTAATCATATGTAAATAAAATAGAATCATACAAATTTCAGGAGCAACGTACATCTCAGCTTCCTCTGGAGCTGGATCAACTCGGAGATGACTCTGCGTCTATGCGCAGTGACGCTGATGTTCAGAGTAAATATGATTTATACTATATTAAATGCCGTTTAGGTAACGATGAAAATTATTATAAATTGTGCTTATATTTCTTTTTTCAGTTTCTGAAAAGGAAAATCTTGTTGCATCACCTGTGTCAGCGAAAAAAGAAGAAAATCATAAACGAGAAATTAACAGGGATGGTGAAAAGGAGGATAGAAACAAGAAATTACGTAAAGCAGAATCAAAAGACAACATACCTGTCTCTGTTGAGAAAAAACAAGTACATTTCTTTTCAATCAATTGTAGATATTTTTAAATAAATAGCAATAACATCGTAATTTAATTTTCAGGCACCTAAACCTCCTAGTACAAATGAAACAAACGAACGTAGGGTATCTCGAGAAAAAGGGCCTGCACCTCCTCCGCCACTTATGCGACAGAATAGTAAAATTGAAGATAAGGAAAATAATTTGAAAATGATTGATAAACAAAGCGATGCAGAAGTATTAAATGAATGTAAGTTTACTGACAAGCAACAGAGAGACAAAAACGAACCGTCTCAGTCTGCTCAGGAAACGATAGGTAAGGAACAAACAAGTGTAGACGCGCTCTCCGAGAAAACAAGCGTACTACCTAGTTTAGAAAAGAATGTACCAGATAATAATGAAAGAGAGAAGAATAAGATAGATGATGCAAACAAAGGTGATATCAGGCAAAGATCTGTAGATAATAAGACGAATTCATCACCGAGAACACAATTATCATTAGAAGAGAAAAGGAAATCAGCACCAGTTAAATTAGAATTGGCCGAAGATTGGACGAAACCAGTATTCAATAAACAATCGTCTTTAGAAGAAAAGAACAGGTACTTATTTCTAGTTGTGTTAAATTTTCATCGACATATTCGCACATGTTTGTTTGAATTTATATCTAATTTAATATTAATTATTTATATGAAGGACATTAAATTTCAGAATTGAAAAGAAAACTCCAGCTGATATACAAGTTAAAGGACAATCTTCATCAGAAGAAAATTATAAGAGTTTACAAGAAAAACGAAAATCTGTAGAGCAAAAGTTAAATGCAGTTTTAGAGAAACGGTTTTCGATGGATACTGAAATGCGAATGAGTGTTTCTTCTATGGAGACGTTATCTCAACGAGATCTAACTGCAAGCGCATCCGAAAAAAATATCGTTAAAGCATGTTCTACTGAAGATGTTAAAACTGATTATGGAACATCTAAACCAGAATCTGTTGTCAAAAGTCATAGCGAAGGATCTTCCAGATATGTTTCGTTAGAAAACTTTTCGGACGAATTTGACGGGAAACGGGATAAAAAATGGCCAAGTAAAGAACACAATTACGAAAATATGACGAGCAACAGCGATAACGTAAACTGTGAGAAAAAAGGTTCTTCAGTGAATGTATCAGTAATTACATCAACTCCCATTAGAAATGCTTCGAGAAGAAGCAGCGGTGATAATGTAGTTGTCATTACCGGTAAAATCAAAGTTACTTTATCATTTTACATTATACAATTAGTTTATTGTTTATAACAATAGTCGTAAATATTTAGTTCATGTTATAAGATTAGAAGTGGATTATTAATACTTATAGGAATAAAGGAATACGTATTGATCTTTCAGGTAAATCCGACCAAGAAATACGTCCAAATACATCAACCGTCCGGATCACAGCAGATAGTCCAGATTTATCGAATAGTCTTGCGAGCAACGTTAGTCAAGTAACTGTAGTAACGACTCATCCTCCGGTTCTTGTCGATGCTGTGTCACTGGCAGCGAGTCCTTCTTGTCGTCAACCTCCTCCAACATCGGAAGTTGTTATTGTAGCGAATGAATTAAACAAAACACAAGTGAACGAAAGTTCAACCGACGATGACGGCTTTCCTAGTTTAGATAGCTTAGAGTACATGCCCCAAGAGCAACCTATAATTCTTACAGACGTTTCTAAAAGAGTTGGCAAGAAGTTAGACGAATCCGAGGTTCTCATTGTGAGTCCGATCATAGACGAATTGCAGGACACTAGTCACGTTTCTGTCGTTACCGTCGGCGAAGATAAGGAACAAGTGAAAGATTCCTCGATACTTAATAAACACGAAGCCGTACGAACTTCTTCTTCTCACAGTGACGCAAGCTTAATCGAAATGTCGAGTACAAAAAGCGATAGCGGAGATGAAATTACTAAAATGATAGTTGCTGGGACGACTATAGAATCCATAGATATCGATGAAGTGGAAAGAAGTTCCAAGAAAATGAATGGTTTGTTGAAGAACGATAAATCTGCAATGGTTACTCCTATGGACGAGAAAACGTTGAAAACGCTTAAACAAAAAGAAGTAAATAAAGGATACAAAGAGAAAAGAGTATCTCCGGATAGCTTCGAAGGATCTAGATCTCAAAGTGAATCTGGATCGACAAGGTCGCATACGCCCAGTAAGAGCATAGATCGCTCCGATGCTGAATCCATTTCTACCACGATAAGTCAGGATAGTAGGGAATCCAGCAAGGAAAATCATCTAAGTCAAGGACAATCGGCGGAAGTGGACGAGGAAGTAGTATTGCGACGGAAGCCCGATTATAATCGTGATATACCACGACCAACAAGAACGAAAGAAGATATTCAAATGATGAATTTGAAGAAAAAGACGAGAAAGCGAACTAGAAAGTTTGAGATCGATGGTGTCGTAGTTACTACGACGACGTCGAAGGTAATTTACGGCGATGATGAAAACGGTAAAGTTTATGACGATCAAATCTTTAGGAAGCAAGAGCTAAGAGAATTAAAGATGCTACAGAAAATGGAGCAGAAACAGTTTCAGGATTTATCGCAAAAGGCACAGTTTAACAAAGATCAACAAGAGAAACGTTTCGAGCAAGAGAGACAACTTTTGGAAAGAAATGCCGAAACTGATCTGGAAACACTCGCTCGGCAACAGAGGCAACAAATCGAGCGAGCGGAAGCGCAACAGGAGGCCGATCTTAGGCTCGCTTCGAAAAAGATTCGTAGTGAGCAAGAAAGGGAATTGAAACAGTTCCGCGAGGGATTGAAACAGGAACTAAAGTTACTTAAGCACGAAGTAGATTTAATGCCGAAAGATAAGAGGAAGAGTGCATTTAAGATACGCAAAGAAAAATTGGAGGCTGAACACGAGGAAAGGGAAAAGCACTTTTTAGATAAGCTTAACGAAAGTCACGAACTATTGTTGAGAAGATTATCTGATAGCCATCGCGAGAAAATTGCTTTAATGGAAAGGCAATTTTTGCAGCAGAAGCAACAGTTGATGAGAGCTCGAGAGGCAGCGATTTGGGAGCAAGAAGAACGGCACATTCATGAGAAACAGCAGTTGTTGAAGAAACAGCTAAAGGATATTTTCTTTTTACAAAGACACCAGATGCTGATACGTCATGAAAAGGAATTGGAACAAATGAAGAGAATGAATCAACGAAAAGAGGAGGAACTGATTAAACGACAGACGGTGGAACGTAGAAATTTGCCGAAAAGAATTCGCAACGAGATGAAGGCGCGTGAAATGATGTTCAGAGAATCTATGAGGATTTCTATGTCGTCGATTATCGCGCCGGATCCCGATGCTGAAAGAGAGAAATTGAAAAAATTCCAAGAGAATGAGAAAAAACGATATAGAGCCGAGCAGCAAAGATTCGAATTAAAGCATTCACGGCAGTTGGAAGAGGTAAGAGCGCAAAGCGATGCCACAATCAAAGAACTGGAACAGCTGCAAAACGAAAAGAGAAAGATGTTGATGGAACACGAGACATTGAAACTAAAGGAATTAGAAGAGGCGTATGGTAAAGAGCTTCGTGAATGGAAAGGGCAACTCAAGCCACGAAAACAGGTAAATCAATATTAATTTTCCTTGTTACTTTGCCTTTCATATTTCGCGAAGCTTTTCTTTTCTCCTTTCCTCTCTTTTGCTCTCTTTTTCTGTCTTCTTGTCTACTCTTTCATGTTTTCTTCTTTTTATCTTCTTGATAACGATTATACGTAGAGCGAAGTCATAGGTTTCCATGTCCTGTGGCTCATACGATGATCGATGACCAGCGCGAGAAGAGATATGAATGAATCGCGATTTTTAAGTAAGCTTAATAGAAACAAGCATGGTTATACTGAAATAAGCTTAATGTACTTGTTATAGAAGTTAGAAGCTGAGCTGACGGCTGAAATGGAAGCATTGGAAGCTCGTTACCGAGACTATTTGCCCTCGAGTCGTAGTGGTTTCTCTTCTCCCCTTTTATGTATAGATTATTCTCTCTTTTATTTTGAAAGTTGGAAGAAATCTCCGCGTTTGCCCCGCTCTACTCCAACGTCTCCTTCTCCATTTACCATTCCAAGGGTGTCTCTAAGAGTCAGTAGTTCGGACACCGGTTCCATTAATGGCATGCTATCACGAAGTCGATCCAAACCAGATCTGGTACCACCTCCTTCGTCTCGTAGATAGTAAATACTCCGAATATTCTGTTGTGTCTCCTTTCAAATGTTTTCGTTATTGAGAGAGAAGTTTCGAAATAATCTTGTAACTTATCGTAATCCAGTTTTTCGTTTGATGTCTCGTTCGATTTACCATTTATTTCAGAAAACAAATTTGGATTTTCATTCGACATTTTTATAGATGTTTTCTCAAGACCTATCTTTTTATTATTTCGAAGTTTCTCTCGTTGAATTATGCTTTGTGCATTCAAGGGTAACATGCCCGCTTTACTCACCGTTGCTTCATTTATTTCCCAATATTTATCGTTTGTTTAAATGCTGTATACACTCATTACTATATATGTATATGTACATACGTATACGTATGAATTTGTCTTCTCCCTCTCCCCTACATACATATATATGTACATTTAATATATTTTTAATATATTTTTGCGTAACCAATTCCAAGGAAAATGTATATTGTTTGGGCTTATACGGAATAACACTTGAATGAGCAGTAATATATCGCCAGGAAATAATTAATTTATAACATCAGTTTTGTTTGCCACTCTTAAAAAAGATATAAAAATCAACAAAACACGTATTCGTAAATCGATAAGGGCGTGTCATTGTTAGCTACTAGGTAAAAGTCTATGATTCTCTAAGTATTGAAATGTTAAAGAATAAGTAGCTGGCATTAATTAACTTATGGATGAAATGTCATTGTTATATTACTATGTCGTAGATTTATCGTTCATGTGCAGAACATTTGTCAAGTTTCCATCGCTGATGACCATAAAGTTCCACGGGATATTTCAGTTGACGATCATTAATGTTCACAGAATATTAACAAGCACTCATACTTATTATTAGTAAAATAGAATTGTACTTTATGCAGACTTTATGTTTAATTAGACGTTTATCGTTCGTTGTATTATCGATAATAATATATGCAAGTGTCGTATCTCGATAGCAGCTTTTCGATGGTTATTAAGTAAAGATCATAACAGGGTGAATCGGTGATAATTGTGGGCTATATGTTGTATACTTACCGGACGTAGTAAAAATGTGCGGTAAATGCTTATACATATCAAGGGTTCTCATATAAGTGTTTCCAATGTGTACGTTAGATTATGTTATTCCCACTTTTATTACGTACCTCTTTCATTAAGAATCCAACACGCAACATGTCGGGAAAGAGATTCCACGACTGGATATGAGAACGGTCTACTAGGTAATAAACAAGGTCAGTCTAAAAAACGTCTGTTGATGCGAATATAGAGTAAATAAGGCATAGATATAGTATAAGCGATTAAGAGCAATTAAACGATTAGCTCCACGAGATCTATACGTTTCTCTTTAATTCTTTAAAGCGATTTAGTTTTCTTGAAACTTATTCGTAGGGAACACCGTTTATATCCATCGCTATTTTACACATTATGTATTATCTATTTATTTGAATATGTCAAAATTTTCCTTTACAGAAATTGGAAGAACAGTTTGCGTTACAACTGGAGGAACAAGAGGCGATTTACGGGCCAAGCGCGATACCATTGTGCTTACCAGCAGATCTTACCGACTTGACGCATCATACAGTTGGTTCTACACGTAGTTCGCTTTCTTCGGTGAGCGAGGGTTAATGTCTAATTAATCTCTATCGTCGAACCGAAATGAAATTTTCTTACCCCTTAAGAATAACAAATGAATCACAGAGCTCCAAATGTCGAGGTAATTCGAAGGTCAAGTTACGCGAGCTCTTTGCACGGCTATTCGATCTGGCTTAAATTTTGGAACAAGGACCGGCGAGTAATTCGTTTTGATTGTAATAAGATCTATAACATGAAACACACGATAGGCGATGCTTGGCGTGCAAGGTGTGGCTATTCAGCGATCGGTTATACATGGAAGAACTATTTTCTTTAATTCGATGAAATACCGATAACTATGTAAAACGTTGTGAACATCTGTGATTTCGGAGCATCGCTTTGCAATGATATACATACATACATATGTTGTGACCGAACTGCGAAATAACTAACAAACTTTTAACGTTTTCAAGAAACGAAGAGAAGAAGAAGAGATTAGAAAGTCGGTTTTCTCTCTTAAGATATATTTTATATATCAAATATGAATTGTTATATATAAATGAGATGAATTTCTTACGGCGATCTTGTCGAAAATATACTGGATACATACAGACCATACAATCCGCCCGATGATCATTTCTCCTGAGAACTTTGAAGAACAAACGTGTTCTCGTGATCAATGGTGTACGTGATCCTACAATAAATACATTTTTTCTACATCTTATATACGCATGCATATTGAACTAGAGTCATTGAGACAATTCCAGGACAATTTATCATCCTATCGTGAATACACGTGACAGTGTCTAGTGTGTTCGTAGAATATCTAGCGATTTTATGCGTACATAATGCACACGTGGAAAAAGTATATTTTCGATTGTCGAATGTATATACATGTATATGCTTGTTGTGCTGTCGAATGTCAGGATACAGGCATTTGCGAGGATTCGGTGTTGAAGCAAGCATAAATGTAGATCGTAATTGCGCGCGTGTTTTAAACCGATGCACGCAGCGTTCAGGTGCCACTTTCGAATCGAAGCGTCGTCGTATCTGAACAAACGTGTAATCGTCGCGTCTTCATTATTAGAATGTTCAACGAGTTGTATTGTTTGTAAAGAGAACGCTAAATCTCCATTGATAGATTGTTTTTTTTTATCGAGATACGGATATATTTTTAGTAAATAAACGTTCAACAATACGAATCAAAGGTTCACGCCAAATATATACAATGTATGATTGCTTACTGCGCGTCTATATAGTCCGAGGACATTGTAGAGGATTTCTTTGATGCGTATTCAAAACGAGCATGTGTGGCTAACGCTCGTCCTAGATGTAAAGAAGCATATTTGTATAAAATATTTCCTTTCGTTTTCCCTTTTTATCTTCTTTATTTCCTTTAATTGTACAGTACTATTAATTTTTATATCTCTGTTTGTTCACGTTAATCTATCTGGTATCGTGCTTATTAGTACGATAATCGATCAAGGAACTTTGTATATAGAGAATCAGAATGAATTGTTTGATATATTTTGATTATTCTACTTTATCGTATCGAGAATAATGTTTACGACGAATCTTTGCGAGCAATTCATTTACCCAGTTTCTTGCGAAACACGTAGAAAATGGATCCATTTCGTCGGATGATCCTTCTCACCGTGGATGTATATCACACATGGGTAAAATGATTTTGCGATGTTACGGCTAACTCAAGTGAAATTTGACCGCGTGTTTTGCGATCAATCTTCGCTCGAGTTCTTTCTTGGTTGGAAATGATGCTACGTATGACGTAAATAACACGAAGTACGAAAAACATAGTAGTTCGTTTAATTAAAAAAGGAAAAGGAAAGAGGACGTTTGCCAAAGCATATGTACATATATGTATTCTTGAAACGTTAAGATTTTGGGAATATAAAGGAAAAGTATGAGGCATGATATGAAAAAAAAAGAAAATCTTAATACTGCCCTTTGTCGAATTTGTGTCGTGCGCTGCAATTGTTAGAAAATACTCGTTAATCGTGCCTGTTGGATCCTATTCTGTCAAAGATTTTATGTTTTTTTATTCATCGAGAGGACGATGCATCTGGTTCTTCTTAAAAGGGATCAATTGTATGAAAAATACGAAACTACGGAAGTAGACCGGAGATTCGTTTACCTATAAACGAACGGGGGATCGATAGCGCAAGTTCCAGCAGTGACTATATGGGAATTTTATATAGGGCTAATGAATTTTTTAATCATCAAGCACGTGTGCATTGTACGTGGGAATTATTGCAAAGAATTAACAAACAGAAGAGAAAAAGAGGACGAAGCCATTGTCGTGTGCGTTGTATATTCGATTGAAAATATTTATACTACGACGATTAAAATATGATGTAATGTAAAGAGGGTCGGAATCGACTTTATTGTTTCGATTTGTGCGAATAGTCACCGTTAGGATTGTTTTTCTCTTTATTTCTTGTTTTTTGCCGAATGCTTCTTTCGTTCTTAATCATTGTACGTACAGTGTTTAAGCACAGGAAACTGTTTGTTACGATTTTTTTTTTTTTGATTTGTATCCATTACAAGAATTTCGTTATTACCAATATGTTTAACATTGAGTCGCAACCTGACATGCAGGCGCATACTTCTACACATAAGAAATCAATAGACTGAGAACAAGTAAAAGGGAAAGAAATCGGAAAATGAGATTATTTTACACTAAGAAACGAAGCTTGCTAAAAATTGTCTTACAAACGAAAGAAATTAATACTTCATTTTATTTTCTGATTTAGATGAAACGTACTAATCGGTCACACTACAAAAATATTTATTAAATATTTATACCTATTTTAATTTCAATCAGAAATATTCCGAATTTTACCTTTATTCCGAAACTTACATTTCAGAAGGAATTGAAGAATCAACATCTCGAACGTTTATTGTGTAATATAAAGCTTTTTATGTAAGCGGTATACAAAGAAATTCTCGTTTATGATTTCAGAACAGAGCATTTTTTTTTTTTTTACTTCTAAACCTTATTGTATGTATTCGATCGACTTTACGCATCTGTGTGTTTATTCATCTTAGATTGAGTTTATTTTACACATATACAACGTACATAGATATACATATATACATTAAACCTTTTCGTCAGTAATCGATTTCGTGGCTGATCTTTAAGAAATACAAGACCGTCGTTCTTGCGAAGAAAAAATAATGAATTCGTATTTTATTAACAAAGATAGGAAATAGAATGATTTACATAGATAAAGAATTGTAAGTGAATTTATTCGTTGTTAAGTTCAAGAAATTGAATTCAGAGTGTAAGTGATATAACAGTTGATATATATACAAGTAACGATCCAGGAGGTATTAGGATATCTACGCATTCTTATAATTGAGTAAGCGTGTTTGTGCAATAAAAATTGTTACGAGTTTCACGCTCGTACTTCTTACGATAGAGAGTTTGATTCGACGATTTACGCGAGGAAAAGTTTGACAGAAATCAAGTCAGTGAAACGAGTGACATGCAAGAATGTTTTTGAAATAGGAGTGCGATCTTATAGATCTTATTAAAATTCGTCTCAGAATGCAACAAACGAGTCGATTACACGCAACTAAGTAACATAACAGTAACATAGTCGCTTTTCAAATGTGGTGCATATGAGTAGCCATTTTGACAGTGATGAGCGCTCGGAACAGACTCGTACTAGCATTTCTTGAATTTGAAAATAGATCGATATAATTAAGTGGACTATTAGATGTAGAAATTTGCCGAAGTAGTTGATTAAGGAGAAAATGTGCGAGTCAATTCGAATCTAGAGATAACATTAAGGAAAACGTTCGTTGAGAAAAAAATGGAATTACGAAGTTTTCGTACAAAGACAGTGCGCCTCGGTCGATTTCTACTTCTACATTCGTGCTACTGATTTCTACTTCCACGTCACCCGCGCCAAGCTGCTGCACGATTCAACAGCGTATTACCACCTTGTGCTTTTCAAATTACCTGTTACTACGACCGTTTGCTTTGTCTCCCTTCTATTAGCGTTTTTTAGCGACCTTAAAGCCTTGCTCAGATTTATCAAGTCACTTGAATTTTCTAGGAATCTAAAGTAATTCGAAATTCTTCATCGGCATAAAATTTCATTTACATGGTTCTCTTGAAATATTTTTCCCAAGTTTCTTCGTTTATACTCATTAATCGAGTCATTTGACTGTTATGTTACTTGATCTGACACGAAATATGCTTGCAAGTTTCAAATGAAGTTGAGGTTCTTTCCTTGACCTGCTATTTACAGTTTCGTACTTGTTGATATTGGTTCCCCCAAACCTCTACTTTTTCTGTATTTTATATTCTGTCATATATTCTATATACAATATTTCTATTATGTTTATAATTATAATTATAATTTTACATACATACAGTGGCTCACGAATGTACTTCAACACCTGTCGCAGAGAATTTCTATAAATATATCATGTATGCGTTATACGAAATGGTACACGACTGTTATGATTATATCGATAAACAGTTCGATTAATCTGAACAAGGCATAACGCAAAATTTCTTGATTTTGTGTCTAACGAACGTCAAACTAATCGATTGTTTTGATGTTGTTTATACCGGATTAATATTTGTTTGTTTTATTCGGTATGCGAATGAAAGTAATTTGCGACAGATATAGTTATTTAAAGTAAATTTTATCTATCTTGTGCGAGCTAGAGAGTTCCCAGTTGGTATATATGTCGGAGATGAAAGGACATCGGGACTTCCCTTTTGGAATGTTGGGAAAAACTCCAATACCCTGGTCCAGATTTTTACTATAGCTACACTTAAGTAATAAAAATAAGAAATAGTTTTAATGTTCCAATCCGGCTTTATGACGATGGGCTTGGGCTCTAAGTGACATAGCGGGTCACTGAACGTAGCCACGGTCACGGGAGGGATGTGTACCTGACAGAGATATGGAATGATTATATGGCTTTCCCTAAAAACAAAGATTGATCCGAGAGGTGGGGAGAGGAATATATAAGGGCAGTTCCACTTGGAGTTTTTTTTTTGGAGTTCATGCAGATAAGTTTTACTTGTACGTGGAGTTATTCGTGTATCACATTGCATTCGTCATCCCGTGGACCGTGGATTCGTTATCGAACCTGAATTCGTTGTCATCAGCATCTCGACCATCCGATAGCCGCTATTACTTATAGCCTTTTGTAGTGCCCACATTTGTACCAATAAACATCAGCTATATCCGCGATTATAAATTTGAGTGAAGGTTCATCGAACGCCCAAAATTCCAACCTTAATCCGACATATATATATACACAATAGTTCTAACAAACGAGTAATTAAAGAGAGATAACTTTTTATATGATAACTCTCACTTAATTGATGCGACATCGACTGAAAACCATATGCAGAGATATATCGTTGTAACATAGAGTCTTTACAATTAATTGCTCAATACTAGATATAATTGAATTCAATATCGAGCATTAATATAGATTGTAAGACTAATGTTATGATCATTTACATGGTAATGTTATAAAAAATACTACAATAAATATTTTACTTCTACAGTTGGAATAGTTTAATTACGAGATTTCAACAAGATATCTGTGTTTACAGTTCGTAAAAACTTTATCAAAGTAGTCATCTGTCAACCGCGCTTAACCGCGTAGTGCAGGAGCAAAATAGTGATATTATTACGCTGATAAGAATGTGGCTTTTTATTTTATCCGTTTTCGTCTTTGTTTAAATTCCTCTTCGTGTCTTTCTCGAAGGATATAAAATAGGACGGGAGTAAACTAAAGCTGTAATTTTGTTGACGCAAGTGCGAACCTTTGTGTTAGGTGCCAGGATATACCTTCATTTAAATATATAATAAAGCGTAAGTTGCAAGCGGCTATCGAACATCTAGCAAAAGCTATTTCGTGTTTCTGATTACTTACAAAGATAACTCTTGAAATTTGACTAATTTATTAATTAACAATGTATATACGAATATCTTCGCTTATTCGTTTCTTAATGTAAATGTTTAAATTGTATGCTTTTTAAAAGTAATTTAATTCAATTTAAAATTGAAATGATTATATATGAAATTATGATGGATACTTATAGAGAAACGAAATACTTGAGTTCATCCTAAAATAAAGTCTAAACGTCTTATATAAATGTATATACTTGTTTCTTTGATAATCAACGCAATGTTCTTTATTGCATAGGTTACGTACGAATCTGCAAATGGCTGAATCGATGAAAAAGAGAAAGGTATGCGTAATAGGAGCCGGCGCAGCTGGCCTCTGCGCAGCTAGACACTTTGCGCGAAGTTTGAATTTCGAATTGAATGTTTTCGAGCAAACAAATGATATCGGCGGTACATGGGTTTACAAAGAAGCAACTGAAGTCGACGAAAATGGTTTGCCCGTTCATTCGAGCATGTATCGAGACTTAAGGTTTAATTTTGTGCACTTATTTTTAATTTACTTAATTAATTTTTCAACTTATTTTACGTTATGTTATGTCTATCGAGTAACTGTTAAAAATAGAAGCAGAATACTGGATTTGTCATTGTAGAACTAATTTACCGGCGAAAATTATGAATTTCCCTGATTATCAGAGATTGAACGCTGAAGAACCATGTTGTGTGACACATCAGGAAGTTCGCACATATTTACAGAATTACGCGGAATACTTTGATTTACTTAAACATATTCAGGTAAGCGGGAATAAGTCTCGTTGTTGTGTGAGAAAATTTTTATTGACTTGCTATGAAAGGTATAATGTTATAGTTTGGAACACGAGTAGAATCCGTTCGATTGCAAATTTCAGCCGAAGGCAAAGAAGAATGGGCTGTACGAACAAAAGTTGTAAAAACAAAAGAAGAGAAAGAAAGTATCTTTAACGTTATAATGATCTGTAATGGGTACGTTTTTCATAAATATCAAATATCGTAACGATTCGTGATATTTTATTTTTACTTTTTCAATGATATTTTATTAATTTTGTTTTAATTATATTTGATTTAGACATTACTTCGATCCTTACATACCAATGATACCAGGAATCGAAAAATTTCCGGGTACGATACTACACAGTCATTCATATCGAAAGTCAGAAGATTTTTCTGGTAAAAGCGTTTTAATCTTGGGAGCAGCTGCTTCCGGAGTCGACATCGCTCTTGATTTGGCTCACCACGCATTTCGAATATATTTAAGCCATAATAATGAAAGGTATTTCCAATAATTTTGGAATATAGTTACTTAATTAATTTTCAGCGAAGAAATTAAAGCATCATATTTTTAATGCATATAGATTAAATAGCCCCTTACCATCAAACGTAATCGAAGTGTTAGGTGTGGAAAAGATAGAGGAGGGGAATATTCTTTTAAAAGATCAAAATTCTATTACGGTGGACGTATTTATGTTTTGTACGGGGTATCGGTACAGTTTTCCATTTCTAGACGAAAACTGTGGAATTCGAGTAGATAATAACTTCGTGACTCCTTTATATAAACATTTAATTAATATTGACCATCCTACAATGTGTATTGTTGGAGTGCCTACTGTCGTTGTTCCATTTCCTATGTTTCACATGCAAGTAATACGATTGATATATTAAATATCATATTAAACGTGTATATGAATATTATTAAACATGCGAGTAGCGGATATATAGATGTAAATTTTCCAGATACAATACTTCCTTGCATTATTAGAGAAAAGAGCAAACTTACCAACAAGATCAATTATGCTGGAAGAGTCGAAGTTAAAAACCTCGAAGAAAAGACATGCACACAAATTAAGTGACAAACAATGGGATTACAACAATGCGTTAGCCGATGCTGGAGGTTTCGACCGTTTGCCAAAATTCTATAAACTCGGATACGAAGTGTGGTCAGCGCAAAGGAAAGCAAATCTTTTGAACTATAAGAGGGCTAGATTTGTATTATCCAAAGATCAAGAAACTGTTGAGTTAGTCATACCGAAAGGAAGTGTATAAATATAAATAACTGTTAAAAACTGTTAAATATAATATTACAGTTTTATAAGTTTTTCATAATATTGATTTTATTAATGATACCGATGTTGTATAAAGTCGATGATGAATGACGTGATCGATTTAGAATTTCTGATTCCACTGTTGGTTTCGAAACCGTGAAGAAAATTTATTAAAATTATTGTGCAAGTTATAAAAGATCACATAGTTTTATTTTTAATCCATTCTGCTAGCCCGATAACGTCGGTGTAAACGCCAGGTTCGTGTGATCCACCGCAATCGGGGCCCCACGAGGTTATACCGATCATGATACCCTTGTTAACCAATGGACCACCAGAATCACCCTATAAAAGATCAATGATATTCAGAGTAAGTTAGACTTCAGAGCAGAGTCAATGTCTCTGCTTGTTATAAAATATATTGTGATTTACCTTGCACGAATCTTTTCCTCCTTCTGAAAATCCGTAACAAACCTGCCGCTCTGTTACTTCATATTTGCCTTTGTAGTCCGCCATGCATTTCTCTCTCTTCATTTTCGGCACTATAACGTATTGCAGAGTCTCCGATAATACAGGATCGAAATCCTAAAAGTTTGTTTGTCTGCTACAATTCAACGTAAGAAATATAGAGCCCTTGAGTAAAAATATTATTATGGCCAAGATATCGGCTATTTAATTCTTTCTGGGTTACAAGGGATGACCCGATTAACAAGTTAATATTGAACGGAGGATAGACCTTCTACGAATAAACTTACGATGAAGTAGCCCCAACCGGCGATTAAACCCCAATTTGTGTCAACGGTTTCACTGCCCTCAGGCAACTTGACAGGTTGTGTCGCGTTGTTAAATTCAAACGGTGGATGCACTTTGAATACCGCAATATCGTAATCGTTGTTTCCTTCATCGTAATTTTCGTGGTAAGTAAGCGTCGTTACATTGTGAATAACACCACCAGTATCGAATTTGCTAGATCCACTACGGACGGTTATCGAAAATTCGGGATTGTCGATAAATCTATGTCAATCGAATCAAAATTAAACACAAAAAACGAAATTCAAAATCGAATTTGAAAAGGTTTTTTTACTTACGGAACGACACAGTGAGCAGCAGTTACTCCCCACTCTCTATTGATGATACCAGCACCGCATGCGTGTTCATTATTTGCTCTGTACGATAACTATTGCAGATAATCATTCCATTATTAACGTCGTTAGTTTTGTTTGGTCAGTTACTCGTTATCGCTAACGAATTTTATTATTTATTATTATTCGTTTCAGATGGGAGAATGTGCTGTCATTGTATAAAGGTTAGTACACTAAGACACGTAGAAAGACGTGTTAACATAAGTTTGTGAATGTAAATCTTTCAAATACATGAATATTTTCAGTTAATTTAAGAAACAAGAGATCTAATGATCGATATAATTATTTACCATATATGGAACTTCCGTAATATTGATAGGTGCTCCATCGACGATTCGATCTACCGCTGGCAGCTCCTGTCCCCTCGTCTTCGCTACAGATATTCGAAAGTCCCGTCAGAAGCACGTCTTTTAAGTTTTATTCGTCTATCGTTATTATTTATTTCGTGTACGGGATAAAGTTAAGACGTTATTTTATTGGTGTGCAAGAATGAAATATGTACGTATGTATATAAAATGACACAAGCTTATAAAAAGACACGTATAAAAAGTTTGTAAGTGGAAGTGCTGAAAATAGGAATGCTGATCTGTCTTGTTCGACATACTGAAAAATATATCCATATTCGCATACTTACATCCGAGCAGTAAAAGGGAAATTGCACAGAAAAGAAGTTCGTTCATATTGAACGTAGCTTATTCGTGACTGTTTTTGCTTTATCCAGCGTAAAGTGAGTTTTACGCACCGATTGCCCAATTTATCCCCGAAGCTTATCGGAAAATGAAACGCTTTTAACGTAATTATACGAGAATTTGTTGTAACGGTCGCCAAATTACTGTTTGCGAGGGGCGGTCGGTAACGTTATCGTTAGATTACATGCACAGGTTAAATGAGCGATTATTTAGAAATTAGTTTCGTAAGTTCGTGGAAAACAGACGTAATAATACTTATCGAAATATTTATCGAAAAATAGAGTACGTAAATATAGAGCAACATATATTATTTTTTATTTCTTGATCATTTTCCCATTCTGTTAAGAAATTATATAAGAATTACAATTACAATAATTTTTTAGTGTGAGCACGTAAAAGAAATTGATTTCAAAGAAACATAAGAGCTCGCGCAAAGTACATAGTTTAATAATTGCAAAAAAGTAAAGGAACGAAGCGTGGACAGCTATAAGGGGTGTCGAAGAAGCTTCATAAAGCTTGATTCGAGCCAATCGTTTTGCGAAACAATAGCTGGCAGGAGTGAACGTCGAATGGTTTTGTAGTTTGGTTGGTTCGCGTTAGTTCGGCGGTGCGGCGGTTTGGCGTCTAGTGAGCCGGCTGGTCGAGGGGTGGCGGTGCGGTAGTGTCGCGCCGAAACAACCCTCAGTCTAAAAGCTACCGCGGTCGGGTGCGTGTCTTTACTAACGTCTTTCTGCGCGATTATTTGCCGCATACGTCCATTTACGTTTCTCTTAATTGTGTATTGTTCTGGACCTGACCTCGGATGCCCTGCTCGAGTATCATAGTGCGGTTCTTTGTCGATCCAACAGATTGAAGGTCAAGTTAACTTCCGGAGCGAATTGACGAATCAGCGGAGGAGTATCTAAACGGACGCGTTACCAGAGATCATCGTTTCGGTGAGTCTTTTGATCATGTGCCAGATATGCATTCGCCAGTGACATAACGAGATTCTTTGAGGAATTTCTGGTCGGAAACGCGAACATTCGTTATAGATCGATAATCGTCGCGAGTCTTCGATCTGTGAAAAAATATTCCATTTTTACAGTATCAAGTTCTTGCAGTCATATAAAAATACTATTAAATGACACGCACTTTAATGTACTTGAATCTAATAAATTACTATATAAGCATTATAATAAATACGATAATCCGTAAATACTTTTTGTAGCCATTGTAGATATTCGATTGACAATTAACTTGCCTCATGACCTATCGCTTTTTATATCGAATTTTTCACTCTAGTTGCGTCTTCTTCGACATTGAAATGTAGGGCGTATATCTTATAACGTAGAATAAAATATAGCGTGTTTGGGCGCGATGAAAGAGCCTATTATTTGTTCTTTATTTAAGCTGCTAAGTAAACACATGACTTTTGAATGTTAATGTTTAGTGTAGTAAATGAAGACGATGTTTAACATTTTTTTCGATAACGTCTTGTTAATGTTATTCGATGCTGTTTATTGACTGTTTTGTGCGATAGGCAAGTTAGGCACGTAGAAACAGTACATATGTGATATATACGACGTAATATATTAGAAATGAAACTAGCTAGTTCTCTTTTCTTTTAATCGATGTCAGTCTCGTCTAATTCGATCGAATTCAGTTGTCATGCGAAGAATCTTTCGATCGAAACGTTCCATTTGTTCGCCATTAATCCACCATATTGGATCGATACTTATCGAATAGCGATACTTTGTTCATTATATGTATATGTAAAGAATCATCGCAGAATTTTTCATCGAAACGATATCTTAGTTTGAAGACGATTTCGTTCTCGAAATTCGAAAACGATTACATTTTCGTCCGATAAATATTCAGTGCCAAAAATAAGATCAGCTGAGTTTTGTTTAGGCTTTTTTTAACATGTTTAGCTTCTAGATAAATTCCAAACGTTGCGATTGTGACATCTTTGCTACGAATAAATCGGTCGAACGATTAACCTAAAATGATCGGAAACAAACACGATAGTGATATATAGAGCAAACATTGAAGGGTTAGGTTACAACACCTTTTCTTGGTATCGCATTTTTGTAACTTGTTTCGACTTTCGATGAAATGAATTCAAAGGCAACCGGCAATCGTATACACTCTTTAACATTGATCCTTAAACAACGCGACAAAGAAATATTATCGATTTCTTCCTAGAATTACTAATTAGGATATGATATTCTACAAAAGATATATTTATTTACAGTGGTTAGGTTTCGGTGTTCGAAATATTCGCATTGTACGATCGAAAGGTGATTTTTCATCGTGTGTATGAAAATCATTTTTGATATTATTATGTATTATTAAAATGTGGATATTTATATACAAACATTTATTGTTGTGAAAATAAGGAAAAGATTAAAATCTAGACAAAGATTCGTTCATCTACTGAATATAGCAACTGTACCTTGGATATTTTATATGTTTTCGTAAATTATATGTATTCTATGTATTTTTGTATTTTTAACCTTTAACTACTAGTACGAGATTCTAGAAAAACGTTTACAAAGATCGTGATAATTTTGCTCTAAAACAACGCATGAAATAATATCTCGCTAATCTTCAGTCAGATAGCGCTTTGTAATCATAACCTACAAATCAACATTAAAATTTTTCAACGACACTTTAGAATGCCAGCGGAAAGTTAATATATTTCCATTTCGCTTGGATGTAATTTCACTTTATAATTTTTCTTTTCTTTTGACTTCTACACCGTATATCTTATATAATTTTGCAAATTACGTACATCCTACGCACAGCTATATCTGTCACTTTCTCGCGAATGCAAAAAAATCCGCAATCCGTACTATTTGCGAAACGTTTAGTACGTTGGGTTTATTTCAAGCGTAGATTTTTCCTAAGAGCTCTAGGAAAGCTCTGCGTGTCTCGTTGAAAACGATACGTAAGATACAAGTTAACAAGCTGCGAAAAAGAGCGAACAGTACAAGCGTATGTGTATCGAAGATCGACGGACACGCTTTATATTTGCAGTTTTATAAAACATGCGATCGAGCTGCGCTCGAGGACACTCGAGGACGCTCGAGGATGCCCGAGGACGCTCGAACCACACAGGCCTCGCTTCCTTCGGTATTAAGCACGTATGCGGTTAATTACGTTTTCAAAGATGAAGCTTTCGAGTGAGTCGTCGATGTTCCCGCCTGCATGCATATTCATTTATGCATATACAGCTTCGTCGACTTTATCGGTGTCTTACGTATGTTATGACCTTATGAACGGGGATTGCCTTTGCATTGTTGATAATACGAGAAAACGAACCAATTTCTAGAAACGGAAAGCCATTTAGATCGTTGCATTTCTTCGTTTCACCAGCAAATCCAGTTCCGTTCGATTTTCAATGGGGCTTCTTTATTATTCTCTGGTAACCTTTCGACGCGAGATATTTTTATTTTCGCGAATAATTCGGTTACGATGTAGTATGAATAAAATTAAGATAGCAACTACGATTAAAGGGTTGACAGGAATATTTCGAGCAGGCTAGTCCGATTGGGGTTGGCACGGGTTCCTAGAGTCGAGGTCAAAAGTTCACGCGCTCTCCGAGTGGCCAAACTACGTTTCACCTGCTGTTCCCTACTGTTTTCTCCGATTCTGCCGGGAACAAGAGTAAATCAAAGATAATCATCGCTAGGAACGTTAAAAGGTGTCGGTATATTTTTCCGAACTCTCGAACGGAACAAATTTTCGCGGCATAAAATGTTATTCCGCGACTGTTTCCCCCTTTTTTTCTCTCTTCTCTCCTTTTCTGTTTTCTTTCTTCCCCTATTTTCCCTTTTTTAATGTCACGCTCTTCTATCGGCTTTATAAATATCAAGTCGGTCGACCTATAAATATTGAGTAGCTTCTATAAATATCGATTAAAAGTGTATGGGTACGTGCTAAATTATCATGCTTAACGGTCAATGGGATAATTGAATTTTCCCATAAAAGAACCATGTAAGGCCTAAAATATTGCCACAGAGTAGATTTTGATCGTCATCTTCATTAGACGTTTCTTTGTGACAATAGTAGAAATATTTTCTATATTATCAAATATGTTGGAGGATGTAGAGTTGTACGCTACGTGCAGACACTTGTAACGCTAAATGTAGAAGTGAAAAGAACGTTTGAAAAAAATATTGGAAGAAAAACTGGTGGGGGAAATATAGAACTAGATTTCTTTAAAAACTTGAGGCTTCTCATACCCAATAGGTTGCAGACAGTTGTTTGTGAAGAAGGAAAGTCGACGAAATGTTAACTATAAGATAAATATTAATTCGATTATTGTACATGTTCATTATATAAATCTCGTCTTGGTGAAAGTTACAAAATAATTTTCTAATTTTAATATCATTTTATGATCGAAGAACAGGATTCTAATTAAGTACAGAGGTGATAAAAGTATTTTAAGTATTATAGTCATCAATGTTCAGTGGCATTATCTTTAACGCTTACATATTACGCACTTAAGGCGGCTATTCATGCTGTATACTAACTTTTTCTTAGATATATGTTTGCAGTAAATATCTCGTAATTTCTACCTATTACATTTTCACATTAGTTTCACAGTTTACCAATGCAGTAACCTCCCTCTCTTTCTCGATTCTCTCTTCTACAAGAACCGAGAATTTTAGGGTAGTTTTATAGTCATAAAGCACAGTGTATTATTGTACCGTAAGTGCATTTGCATTTGTGGTAACTCGACACCCTCAGACCGTGCGTCCATATGCATCCATGTGCGTCGTTTCATCGCTTTGTATGCACAGCGATACACAGTGGAATTTCGCCAGTAAGAATGAAACTTTGCAAATCCTATCTAAATTCTATCTCCCTTCAATGAAGTCGCTAATCGGATCAGGAATCGAGAAAATTGTCAAGATCCGCGAACCTTCCAATCTTCCGTTCGATATTTTAATCTCTCAATTCGCTTTGTTTCCGCCGTTCGCCAGACCAAACCGTTCCAACTTACCTGTCTGACTATGCATATTTCGTTATCCGTCAACCTGCCAGTTATCGCATATCCGGATGATCGATCGTTCAAAGTTCGACGAACGAGAGAAAGAAGACAAGAACGCAAACAGCCAAACGCACGAACAAGGACCCAGTCGATAAATTATTTTTAGAACGTTTGCTTGGCCAACGCGGAATTAACGATCGAACCTGGCAAACGAGGACGATACGATCGAGGTCAGTCGCGATTAACCTGCGAGGAAACGATACGTTTACCTTGAACGTTGGATTTTCCCTGCGGTAGCCCTTTAGCCGCGAAGAATACGCATCTTGCACAAAAGGATTCTCTCCCTCGATAAACTCGACAAAATATCATGTACGGAGGCCCTTTGCGACACTTAAACTGAAAATATTGCAAGTACAATGGCTCACGAAGCTATTTGAATATATACCACAGAAATATTGTACAATCGATATTTTACAATATTTTACAAATATTTTACTGTTTGCGTTATACGAATTGCTCGTAGAGCAAAATAGTCGACAGCACTTTTTCAAAATTTTACCTTCCGCGGAGTTAACTAATTCCAGCCGGATCAGCGGCTCGTATAAAACAAAACATTTCGATATTTTATTAGCAACGAGTCAGGACTACTGTAATCATACTGATAGAATTTGGGACTAATCTGAAAATGTGTATAAAAGTGGTTTACTGCGAACATACGACTAACAAACAGTTGGTACACGGTACGAGTTATCGTTTTTAAGCGTAACGTTAAATTAATAACGCATTTCATTCCAAACTCGATCGAAAAGGTAGCTTTGAGCTGGAATTATTCGACGACATATGGAATTAAAAAATTCGCTCTTTCATAAACGAAACGCGATTCATCGTGTTTTTCATCTGCGCCTTTGTTTCAATGCCATATCGAACGCGCGAGGTGTACGAATTAAAGATAAAACGTAATAAATCGTATCGATGCGACAGGGTCGCTGGCAGAATCGAAGGGACTTTGGCAAAGTGCGATCGTTTGACGCGATAACGTAAATCAACTGTTAATTGCGTGATACCGATGCACTGTTGTACAACCTCGTCGTTAATCCACCGATAACGTCGAGCTTTTTGTCGTCGAGGACGACATTTCGGGTTATTTGGCCAACGTTCCCGAAATCTTATTAATGGTTTTTCGCCCAGTCGCGACGGTGCACAACCTGGAATTCCATAGAAGTCGCGTTTCCATGTTGTTTCAACGATACGATGCAATTTGTTAATGAAAGTCGCACTTTACCTTAGTTTCCGTCTCGAAGTGGAATAAGGTTAGAGCATTAGCCGAGATTGAATCAGAAACTCTGTTGGCTCTACCAAAGGAGAATTAATTTTGACTTTAACCGGATTTGTAGGAAGCGCGCGAGAATTGTTCGCTCGAAAAGGTTGCTTTGTTACGCGTACCGAGATATAACTAGTAACAGCACCAAGTTCAATATGTTCATAAGCATCCGATGACGTTGCTCGATTTGTAGTAACAGTATGTGAGCACTGTGTACGAATTAACGATGAATTAGCAATTGGAAGCATCATTTACCGTTCTTTTATGCAATCACTCGAGCGCGGACCAAACAAGCCACTGTCGACTATTGTTCCATTAGCAACATTATCTATTATTTATTTGTAACACATCGATGCAAATGACAGATCTATATCCACGTGCTTCGATGATCCATAAGTGCGACGATAATAGCAAGGTAATAGTGATTATTAAACGTTGCGAGAAAATACCTAGCAATTTCGATTCTTCGATTCTTCGAGTTTTCGAATAATTCGTGGCCTATCAACTTCTAATCTCTCTGCAGATAAATTCTCTCTTACCTGTAGCTCGACGATCAAACGAGTTGAAGATCAACGAATTAACGAATCCCTTGAACGACAACGCTTATAGATGCCAAGTTGTTCACCGTATATTAACTCCGATATGTCGACTAGATCCATATTTTGGAATAGCTTAGCGGTTTTTTTATTAACGTCACGAGGGTACACGATTTTTCTAAAAGGAAAGAAGAGGAAGAAATATGCGAAGAAGACTTGTAATAGGTCAGAATAGGATTCAGCAGATCCTAGCGCTCTATACTCGTGAGAGAAATCAAATTTTATTGAATTTATCGTGCCATACAAGTGCGTTATTTACGCGTAACTTTTATTAGAGATAAAAGAGGAAGATCCAGTTTCGGGAAACTTTACGTTTTAATTCCAGTCTTGGAGACGACCCAATCGCTGAAGGCAGCAACCTCTGTGTGAACACCAGGGTAGCCAGGTCTGGCGCAGCCGTAACCCCAGGACACTAGGCCAGCCAAACGTCCACCAATAGTCATGGGGCCGCCAGAGTCCCCTTGGCAAGCGTCCTTTCCTCCTTCTGGTATCGCCGCGCAGATTTGTCCCTCGGGCAATCCTCCGTATGATTCGTAGGCTTCGTTACAGGAGCTCTTCGATACGATAGGTACATCGACAGTTTTAAGGATCTCGGTAGTGCTACCGCCTTCTCTCGTCGCACCCCATCCGGTGATTGTCGCGGTGATTCCCACGGCGGATTCTTCGTCTTGTTTGAAGATCTTGATAGGATTACGCGTTTTGTCCAACACGAAGGGACTCGAAACTCGTAGCACGGCCACGTCGTTCATTGGTACTCCGTACCAATTCGTCGTATAGTTCTCATGGACGATTACTTCAGCTACCTTGTGTGAGCTTCCGCCAATGGATTTTATCGTCGTTCCGGCTTTCACGGTGATCCATTCGGGTGGATAAGACATGCAGTGAGCAGCTGTTATCACCCATTTGTCCGAAATGATGCTACCACCGCAGAAGCCGATGCCGGAACTTTGAAGGGACACTTGGTGTGGTACATCCTCGATCTTTGCGTTCGTTCCACCGATGATTTGTCCGGTTGGAAATAGGGAGTTCAAGATCGGTCTTTGCAGCGGCGGGGTCGCTGGTGGAATAATAATTTTATCTTCGGTTTAAAGCATACGGGAAACGATTAAAATGATTTATGCAGGTTCACGCTTTTATGAACGCGATTAAAGAAACGGTAGGTAGATTGCGGATATTTATATACACGTGGTACTTATATTTTTACGAGCACGGTTGAAGCAGTGGATTTTAAATACGTTTAACGAATAGCGTGGGATTTTATAAATAGCCGAATTAAGTAGAAAAGCGTCCGGGTATTATAAGAAGCGTTGACTTTGTAGATTTCCAATATCTTTATCAAAGGCTTGGGAGACTTTACCAAATATTTTCAGTTGCAATTTTGCGCATAAACGTTAGCAACAGAAAGTGATCGAGTCAAGCATCGCAAAGTCAATCGAACATTTCGGTAAATAACGAGTTATTGAATATCTTAAGTTACAATTTCTTTAGATGAATTTGAGTAGCGAAAAGTGAATGGGTATGGTTGAGAATAAAGAACTTACCTGTCGCGGCAGCCAACAAGGCGAGTAAACTCAGTTGTGTGAACATCTTGCTTGCCAAGGAGTTGTAATGTTTGTCTGCCTTTCTACAAAATTTGTGGTGTATTTATATGAAAATGAATCACAAACAATAAATATATCGAACAAAGGGTATTATTGGTGGCATCGATAAGAGTTAGAACCAGAATTCGTAAAGCCACCGTACTTTACGCGGATTTCGTACAAAATCAGCCGTATCAATCAAAATTTATCGTTTTGACGGTAAGCTTTCTTCTTAATTTTTTGCTTTCGTTTTACCTGTTTACGTTTAATTTATGCTTTTTCATTAAAAAGGTATAATAACGCATGCATACGCTGATGTATTCATATTCCTTGTAAATTATTATGGGCCGTGGACGTGTATTTTTTACATCTTTATTAGCATAACAAAGAAAGTGGTAAATTTATTAAAATTTATTTATTTTATTTATTTAAATTTGACGCCTGTCCTATCCGCTATGTAACAAGTATTTTAAATTTATAATATAAAAATGATAGCATAAACGTCTGTAGTTTATTAACAAATATATCTTGGTATTTATAGAACTCTAATCTAAATCCCGATAAAAATTTTGAGATTAATTTGATAAAAAAAGTTCCAAGTCCGTTCAAAATCTAAATCTGCGTTTAGTCGTTTATAGACAGCGTTGTTCGCAATAGCGACAGAGTAAGACGCAGCAGATACAGGCAAGAAGAAAATCTAATTTTATTATATCAGCACGAGATTATCGTTATGATATCGAATACAAAGAACATACGGCATAAAGGTGATAATTGGATTTTTGCTGATTTTTTTTTTATTTCGATGTCGCTTGTAATTAATTACTAATACAGAAAAGAAAAAATATGCTTTTATGTTATACGTTTCATAAGGATACGTCAGTTTAAAAGTAAATGAATCCTTTGTAAATGACCAAAGGTATGTTTAATATTACGATAATCGACAGTTTTGAAAAGTTCGCTACGATATAAAAATACAGATTTAATTTTACCAGCAAGTAAAATTACGTTTTAAAACTATTTATCGCATTCTTCGTTTATGATCCTTACGCGGAACGTTTCGAACGAGATAGTAATATTTAAATGTTTTAATCATTCCTTAACGATATTTTAGATTTATGCAAATTTTCACGTAATGACCAATAAAATAAATAAAGATCAAATTAATCGAAATTAATACTTTCTGTCGTAGATACAATCTATGCACGTACGTTATGCTTAATCTCTAAATGGAAATCGCTATATAAATTATCGGTTTTGTCGCGTGAGCGGTACTAAAATCGCGATAGTTACATTGATACTTAATCCCGATATGACTTTACGCATAATACGATGAAGATTCTAAAGGCTCAAGTAGCAATCTTATCGTAGATCGTCTGGATTGACTGTGTATATTCTAATTTGTAAGATGTAACGACTAGTGGCCGACTAATCGATTAAGTCGACTTTTCTAGGCGATGACTAGCCGACAAGATTGATGGGCCTTAGATTTTTATTTACTCATAGCTTGATACAGCGTAGAAATAAAAATACAATGTTCTCTCTTTACTGTCATTAGTCTAATTTGAATATTTTTTAATATATAGTAACGTAGTATACTTATTTATAGGTATGTAACATAATTGTTACGTTAAGAAATAAAAAATAATTATTTGTTTTTATTGAAATAAGCTAAATAAGTTAACCAATTGAGGATTATATACAACTTAATTATTATAAAATAATAATTAGGGAGTAGGCACCGCTATTTCTTAATTTTATCATAATAAAAATCTTCAAGACTTTCAAACGAAAAAACAACACGTAATAAAATAAATATAACAAACAATGATAAAAAAATTTCTCTTTGGATTAGCAATATTAAACAATCATTTTTTTCTTGTTCGATAAGCAGAGACGAGTAGTCGGCCGACTAGTCAGCTTCTTAGAAGCAGATTAATCGGTTAGTCGGCTAGTCGGCCAAAAGCCTAGTCGGTTGGTCGGCCAAAAGCCTGGTCGGTTAGTCGGCCAGAACCCTGGTCGGTTAGTTGGCTAATATCCTAGTCGGCATAACTCTATTAATTTGATTTGACTGTTTCTACATGTCGAAAGAAAGAAAGTCTCATTTACACGCATTATGTTTGTCGAAAACAAATTTATGAGATTTCCATATAGATTTTCAGATTGATCTAACATTTTATCAATATAACCACCACGATAGTTGGTATTTCAATACAGTTGATACAATTTTAAGAAATTTCGTAGGTCAACACACCTGATATATTAGGTGGTCCGAATAGTTTCTTTCGTTTTATAAGGAAATAATGGATGCACATTTTCCGTTTTATATTATTTTATCGAATTACGTGTGATCCATTTTGTTCTATCAAAATAAAGATCACAACGTTCGACAGATTAGGTTTCGTGTCTGTATAAAGATGCATCGTTGTAAAAGACGGGTCTGTAGAAGAAAGACACTTTTCGAACAACCTAATATTTATCAGCTCTTCTATTCTGAATGTTCAAGTATTTTCACCGGTCATTATACCTGCTACATTGTTCAGCACGAATAAAAGGAAGCAAGGTTATGATAATAAAACAACATTTATTTTCTGTACAGTCGCTATTTACATGGCTGACGGATATTATTAGAAAATTTAACAAACTTTTTAATAACAAATCTTGAAAAAGGTAAATAAAGAGAAAGAAAGTTTTTCACGTATCATTTGTCCTTAAATTTGCACGTACATGTATACCGTATCTACGGTATACCGCGACTAGAATCGTTATCGACACAACCTGTGCACTGATTCGTCGAGTACTTTTTTAAATTCAGGAAAGGGTTGTTCGCGAGTTAGATACGAGCGTGTTGCTTGATCCACGAGCCATAGTGGGAAACGTCGGTGTAAACGCCTGGATACTTAGCAGTTCCGCAGCCCATACCCCAAGAGACGATTCCCACGAGTTTGCCATTGACAACAAAGGGACCACCAGAGTCACCTTGGCAAGAGTCTTTGCCTCCCTTCGCAACTCCAGCGCAAATTTCCCACTGAGGAATTCCTCCGACCTCCTTGTACGCTGTGTTGCACGCCGGTCTCGAGATTAGAGGAACCGATACCTTGCGGAGACGCACCGGAAGCTGACCGGATTCGGTGGTACCCCAACCGGTGATCAGTCCGTATTTGTTAACAAGAGAATCGGGATTTCCTTGATACAGAGATATAGGTTTCCTGGCGTTGTTGAATTGGAACGCGTCAGAGTCCACCACGCGAAGCAGGGCGACATCGTTCGATGGGATACCGTGACGATCGCTGCCATAGTTTTCGTGTCTGATCACTTGCTGAACTCGGTGCACCGAACCACCGGAATTGACGTTGGTCGAGCCGGAACGTATGAGGTAGCCGCTGGCTGGGAAATCGGTGCAATGTCCAGCGGTTACCACCCAGTTCTTAGCGATTATGCTACCTCCGCAGAAGTGGCGACCATTGTGTTGCAAGCTCACTTGGTACGGCGCTGCCTCGATGGTCGTTTCCTCGCCACCTACGATACGACCGTCCATTCGTTGCACGAAGTGGTGCACCGTCTGGTTTGTTATCGGGTTCCCTGAAACACAGAGGCAGGGAGCTTTGGTAAGACTATAACGAGTTGTGTAGTTGATCTTCGTCGATGGAAGAGCTCGTGACAAATGTGATCCCTATTGAGAAGAGAAGTAGAAAATCTTATCGCGCAATTTTTGTGAATATCTGTAAGCTGTAAGGCGCTGTAATTGTAACGCGGCAGAATTATATTTAATTAGATAGTCAAGTTTCGAAGCTCGTGGCAGAAGTCTTTGTGGATTAATCTTCGATCGCGTAAATTTGAAAGTACAGAAATTCATACAGCGTGCATAATACGTAGAGATATATAAACGTCCAAATTATAGCACTCGTTACATCATTTAATCGAACTCATGAAAATATACATCTTGTCGCTCGTCGATTTACCGATATTATCAGTTCGCAAATTATTGCGCAAGAGTCGGAAAATAGTCGATTGTTTTTAGTTGACTTACGAGGTAAAAGATTAAATAAAGTAAAATTCCTTGGTATTTTATTACAGTAAATGTAACAGTTACATGTTCTAACACCAGCGTGTACGTGTTAACTTACCGGCCACTAGGGCAACGAAAGCGAGAAGCACGGTGAGTCTGTGCATCCTGAGAGTTACTTGCACTTTGGTCGACGACAGAGCTTGATGTGCGATACAGAATCGATATCCGTCGGGTTTTTATAGTGAAAATCAGTGGCTTTTAAAATAGACTATCGCACACTCTCGAAACTAATCTGAAATCTTTTTCTTGAATCGTCCGATGAGCTTATCTGGAATCACTTTTTCGTTCGATATTAATAGGTTTCTGCGCTGCAGAGGAGGTCAAGAGACACGCAGTTAAACTATTATCGATGGCTTTTAATCTAGTTTTCGAGAGAGCTATCGATCAATCGATGCTGAGGCTCGATTATTACGCACGTGTCACTAGGCGAGTTCGAAACGTCATCACGATCTTTCCGTTTCAATTCGAGTTCCTCCCTTCGTTTCTCGATTAATTTTCAATCTGTCGAAATCTGCCGATCAAATCTGATCATCTTACCATTTCGAAGTATTTCGCTTATTACTTTTCTTTATCGATTAATTGTATCTCACCAGATGTTCGTTCAAGTAGGGGAAAAAAAATTATCATCGTGTATTTATTTTGATTCAGATAACCGTAATTTTTCACAATTATTTTTACGTTCCGATGTTTCTAGTCAACTTTGTCGCGTGTCCTCCAATTTCGCACGATAATTGCAAATCCTCGGCGTAAAGTTCTAACGAAACGTCGAGTCGATAAGAATTCTACCTCAAACTCGAAAAAGTCTTTTCAACTAGAAAAGATAGAAAACTACGATCTGGTTGATAAGGACCCCGAGAAAGGTTTAAGCCGTTTCCAGGTTGTGACAGATTTCATTGACGCGTGAAATTTTGCAACTCGTCCCTGCGCGTCAATCCTTTATCCCTCGTTACTGACCTACATTGATAAAACTAAAGCAAAGTGCACGTTCGCCAGGAAAATCTCAACGATAGTAGTAGATAATTG